AAGTTGAGTCATCATTACTGTCCATTAAATAGCTTCCCATAAATAATGATTGTTGAACTGTCAGACTTGGTCCTTTACAACTGCACAGTCAGCAGTATTCCAGCCACATGGCAACAGCTTTAAAATACAGAACACAGATAACGAACAAAGGGATACAACGAACTGTTAAAAAATCCCTGATTTATCTCCTATATAATATCATACAAAATTTACAAATGTTTTATGAAATGTTATCAATTGAATGCTATGAAGTGATCACTGCTAATACAAGTCAATGCTGCAATGTATTACGTTTTATCCAAGATGGGAAGTTTCTGAGCGAAAGCGTATATAATGAACAACAGATATAACAAACTGATTTCTCTGGTCCCTTGTAGTTTGTTATATCCATGTTCTACTGTCACTGATTCTGAACAAAACAAACCAGTGACTGATATGTTGATATGTGCATGGCCAACTCCATAGTAGAACGATGACACACTTTCAACCAAGTCACCGATTCTGATCACCAGATCAAGTAGATCACCTTGCACGAGGAGTTCTTGAATCGGTAACTGATCAAGTGGTAATTCATCCTCCTCACAGAATGCATTGTAGAAAAATAAAAGCTGTACCATTTAATAGGCGAGTTCACTAACCTGAGCCTTCCTGCCCACGCCTCCACTGAACCTGCGGAAGGGTACAATTTCCTTTTTGTCTACTACATTCTTCAGATAGCGATTGGCCCTTTTCAGGTGCATGTGTTTCACAGCCTGGGCAGTTTCCCTTGTGTTCTAGGATAAAGAAAGAAAAACATGTACTGAAATGCAATGACTGTATGTAGGAAGGTTATGAATGTTTCTATTGAACAGTATTTTCTGCTAACACATGTAAAATAGAGAAGCTGAAAGAAACATGATGCAAGAAATTTATTATAGTTCTACAACAGTTGTCTTTCAAAAGGTATAAACTGACAAAGCGATTGATCATTCTAACTGTTGCTCTAAAAATAAAACTTATCAACTTTAAAGTTAGCAAGACCATGGACGTGTTAGCCACGAGGTGCTAGGCTATCTAGGGGGATTTAGGTGCACCCCCCCCCGCCCCCTCCCTCCACCCAAAGTATACCTGAAGTGGTGTATTTTTAGCCATTCTGAGCATAAATAAAGTGTCTGGTTTAAATCTTTAAGTGTCTGGGTTTTTTTTATTTTGGGAGGCAAGAGAAACTCAAAACAACAATAGGTGAGGTGAGGTGAGGTGAAATAGGGTTTAATGTCGCGTCCAAGATTATTGCACTTATATAGCGACGTGCATGCACAGGTGTGTGCGTGCGTAGCTGCATGTATTAGTCCGGACTGATGCTGATTTATAGTGCTAGCTCACCAAGATACCATGTCACAGTTTAACATGGATACCCCACTCAGACACAGTATACCGACTCCGAGCCGACCAATTCTTGTTTTAGCCCCTAAATGCCGAGCGCCAGACTGGGTAACAACAAGTACCATCTTTTAATGTCTTTTGGTATGACGCGGCCGGGGATCGGAAACTCAAAACAACAATAAGTTATGCTTAAAGTAAACTTGTCTTAAAATGAAAAACGTGTAAAGGGATGCACGAAGGTCGTTTCTTTGGTGGCCCAGTATTTTTCAGCGATTATTTTTGTATATGGGACGCCGTAAATGCAAACTCTGCTCAATACTCACTTTGAAATGGACTCTCAGATATGACCCTCTTGCCTTGGCAGCTGAAATGATTGATTAGAAGCAAACTTCAATCAAGTGAATCAATTAGTATTGAAGAATTTTCAAACAAGTTATACAAGAAATCCCCATTGTCTTAATTTTATCCATAGTTCACCAATGTTACACCAATGTTACACGAACAAATTAGATGTACTGGCTAGATACTAGATACAATATCTATCGTGAAATGCATATTTACACCGATGATTCACCCCTAATAAGTTGACTGGGACTGGTTCTATCCCGGAATCCCCAAGGGGTTAAGAGAATGAAACACAAACAAGCAAATGTTCTAAGCAATACACATCATGTATACTACCGGTACATCAAACAAAGCACAGCTCAATTGTATTATTGGTACCTTCATCAATATAATAATCATAATGTGAACAACATTTTCAATAGCCCTCATTTCAGATTTGTGGAAATGTCAACCTTATCTGTACTTACACTTAGAGGGGTTTTCTGGGTCAGATGCATACCGGACCATGTTGATGGATCTGGAAAGAAAGTATCAAAGATGAAAATGTGTTTGAGTTTTATTAACTACCTAACATGTCGGAACAGATGGCATCAAACAGGAGTGAGTGAGTGGATCTTTTAACGGGCCGTACAACCGTACAAAACAGCTTCATCAATGAATATTCTGAACATGATCCACACCTGAAACTTTATTAGGTTAATTGCAAGTGGAAAATGGAATGCAGGGACTTACCTGGATATTCTTATTTTCGAGTTTTATGGATGTTTTATCACTGATCATTCTCAGAAGCCTTAAGTGAGTGAGTGAGTGAGTTGGGTTTAACGCCACTTTTAACAATATTCCAGTCATATCACGGCGTGTCAGCTTAATGTGGGAGGAAAGCCCGAAGTGATGCAGGTCTCAGACGTTTACCACTTCGGTGAAACCCACGAGCACGGGTATGGTGCTGACAAACCTAGAAACATAATCGGAGCGAACCGGGATTCAAACCCACAATCATAGGTTTCTGGCATGCATAAGGGACTTAACTCTGCACAGCGAAACACGGCACCTGAGACGACTGGGCCACCCGCACCCCCCAGAAGCCTTAATTATCACAGCTTTTTGTATTCCATGTGACTCAGAATTTTTATTGTGTACATTCTCAATTTGTAAGTGTATAGGTCATAGAATGCAATATTTTAAACCAAATCAAGTGACTTTTCAGATCATTCTTGTGACTAGTACTAATTAGATTCAGTGTGGTGTGTCTCACTAAGTACTGCACTTTAAAACGGAGGACGTTAAAGATTGATTTTCTGCCTGGCATTTCATAACTAGGTTGGCAAATTATTCCTTGTTATAATTTAGTGGAAGAGTAAAACTGGTTGATCATTTTGTATTACATTCAGCCACTGCTTGACCCACACAATTATTAAAGTTTGACGCTATCTTCTTAATATCTGATCTTTTCTCAGATTGGATATCTCACTTTGCCAAGATCTGAAGAACCCTTGCTTGAATTGAGGGTCTAAAACATCTAGTATGAGTGATAAAAACATTCATTGTAACATATTCAATTTTCTTTGTCAAAACTTTACATAAAGGGGCAGTTCATAATATAACAAAGGCAGTGCTGTTTTGGAAACAAATGTATTTTTACACACAACCTGTTCTGACTGTTGTGGCATCTACATTCAAAGGAGTTTTCTATATATTTGTTCAATAAATGGGGATTTCTGACATCTGATTTCGAGTGGGTGTTCACTCAGGGTACACCTCACTAGACTTAGAAAGAATACAAGAGTTGTAAATTGGATGACATTATTTGCCAAAAAGGTGAGATATCTACACTTATCCTAGCTCACAGCTAGCCCTCAAAATTGTTACAGGATGCATGATCATGATGATTGGAAAGGAGATCCAAAGAGCTTCTCAAAGAAAATGACCGCTATACTGCCTTGAGCGTTTTATTGACAATGGAATATTGTTTTGCTCATTTGGCTCTTTGGAGAACACGTCAACCTATGTTTCATTATCTTCACAATGATTAACAATTAGCCAGTCTAGTGAAAACATGTAAACGTTGGTGAAGGACAACCCCTTGAAACTGCCCCAAGGATACCCTACACATTATAGCTGAAGGGGTCGCTATCATCACTGGTACTCTGTACCCTTAAACGGTGGACGAGTCCATATTTCTCAACCTGAAACAGGTTCACTTTGTACTTCTGTTTCGCTTGATGATGAGTGCATGCTGGATAATGCTGTGCATTTCGGAATAATAGTGGAATGTAAGTACGTAACTGTAAGCTTGTTTTTTTTTTTTATTGCACGCCAGATGGCATCTCATAACCCAGCAAGATTGTTCCGATCCAATTATGGAAAGGTAATACCGTGAGAAACATAGGAAGCATACTGCCATGTTGAATTTTACCACAGTTTGGTATCCAGGATGTGTTGCACAGATTGTCGTTTAAGGAACCGGTTAAAAGCATTGCGCAATTGATTTATCCTGTGGTACCTTTCTGTATTCTGATTTTGCAAGGGTACATTTCTGTACTCTGTATACGCCTTCAGCAACATTATACTCTTATTGAGTTAACTTTCATCTCCATTAACAAAATGACCTTAATAATGATTACGAGTTTGTGTTCAATGTTCACTTGTAGTTCACAATACTTGTAGATATTTCAACTGAAATGATGAAAAGAACTCATATCTTGCTTATCAAACCCCTTGTGTGATCTTGTGTGAGTATAATGGTCTGCACAGTTCACTCAAAATGTGTTATGTCACGGGTTAAATCGAAGAATTCAATATTCATTATTTTTTTGCATGTTCAATTTATTTTGCATTAGTTCTTGTAAGTTCTGAATTGACCCTGCAAACGTAGAAATGATCAGTTTATGTTTGACATGTTTACATGCTGTGTCAAAGCATCCATTCACACATAACACGAATTACAGACTTTCCTGTAATTTCTGTCAGAAAATATCGTTTGGACAGCAAGCGTATATAACCAATGAACAAGAACGATTTCAATATACTTTGAAAACTTCTGTTTTAGAAGTGTGATTGAAGGATTTCAGAAGGGGATGATTGTGTAGTAAATTCACGAACCTCGGATTTACCGGAAGAGGAAGTTAAAAGAGCGATTTGTGGGTAATGTAGAGTCTCGTGTGTATCGGAAAATCTCGCGTAATCTCGTCTAAATATATATATTTAAATTTATGCATGTATAATACATCCACATTTTCATTGGTTCAAACCTAAATGAATATTTATGAGAAAACAGGTGCCCGTACGTCACTTCCGGTAACTATGGGATATATGTACATTTCCGTATCTGACGGTCAACCCGACTGGATCGCAGAGTTGAGTGGGTGGAAGCAATTTCAACATAATTTTGCCGGGGCGTTTTGTCGTTCATTTTGGTTACTCATGGTCTAAGACGTTGCTTTGCATCAACACACAGCCATGCCTCTGAAAAATCCTATGAATTTGACTATCTCTGTCGCCGAACCCAATCAAGAATCGGGCGAGTAAGTGACAACTAGTAGACACATTGGTTTGGTACTGATACTTGCACCTTGCAGCATGTCTGAATCAGAAGTGTGCTTAGGAATGACGTAAAGGCATATGTTTCAACAGAGGAAAGGAATATTTTAGCATCTTTTAAATGCGGTTGTGTCATTAAAGAAGATCCTGGTGGACACAAAATGTCACTAATTCTTCCATAATTCTTGACATATTTGAAACAACTCTTATATGATTTAAAATAGTCTGTTCCCATGTGACAGGGGAAGTCTTCTGCTGGTGTAAACAGGATTATTATTTGAAAATGAGAACAGGTTTACATAGACGACAATAGTGAACGCATGTAATACCAACACTGAAAGCTGCGCATTTAGTTATATGCTTGACTAGCAGTCTGTCAGATGATGCATGCAAGATGTGTTCATGTTGTCAATTTTAGATTAGATTAGAGTGCACCTGTTATTTACATATTACTAATCAAGGCAAGAGTGCCGTTATACTGGGGGCAGGTCAAGTCTGTCTGCTGGCCTGGTGATTGACTCTGGCATACAGACTATTTTCCAGGTCAAAACAAACAAGTGAAACATGAGATTGAAAACAAAGACACATTTCAATATGTATCAAAACCATCAAAATATTGCAACATCAGATTGAAAACAAAGACCATATATATGTAGTTGGAAACACAAAAGACCTACTGTGATCAGTTCATCATTGTACAGGATTACATATCTGAACAATTGAACGTCATGAAGGTATTACAGTAAAGAATTAAGCTTTTACCATTTTATATGTATCTTTTGTAAAAGGCTTGTCATTTAGGGAAGTTTTACTTGATTTGTAACTTTCTGTCACAGATTATTGGAAGTTCGAGAAGACACTACTATCATGACTAGTGTCATTGTCTACCAAAGATGTATTTACGGTAGAGTCAACTTGTCTTGAAAATATCACAAAGATAAGTTATTAAATTTGGGGATGCCTCCACCAGTTTACTTATCATAATGTCTAATCAATACAGGCATCTGATCCATACCAGATGTCACATATTACTGTCACAGATAAGTAGAGACCACAGGCCATCCAGACATTGCTTGTTGAAGTTGTGGAAGAAAGATGGATGAACAACTTCTATTATACAATTACGTTTCGTCGCTCTTAATTGTAATAAAGTTGTTCATCCATAAATTCTTATCCTTACTTAGTACTCCAACTTCTAAATGCCTATCAAAGAAACTGCTAAAGATATGCTTTATTAACAAATATTTTGAAAATGAATGTTTGTTGTCAATCTGATATTTCACTTGTGTGATTTGCATAACAGTAGTTCCAGTTTGACCCAATGCATGGGTCTCTATTACCAAATAAGCTGTTCCATTTTGGCGCTGATCCGTTTTGACTCGCAGCTACTTAGAATTGGAAACATTTCTTATACATTTTCTGTATTTGTATCCCTGCATAATTTGAGTATAGAGGTTAGGGTTTTCACAGTTGCCTCAACAACAGTCACAAATGCACTTCAAACACATCAGGGTGTGGTCTTTCACCATACATGAAACCCGCGAAGATTCCGGGGTAGAATAGGTCTTCAGCAACCCATGCTTGCTGTAAAAGGTGACTATGCTTGACATGCCAGTGATTTGCATGAAAACACTGACGTCAATGAAATACATATGCAGATAGTGTTTGGTACAGGTAACATTGGGATACTTTGTGAAGAAAATGACCAGCCATGTTCCACAGGTGGAGCATTTGTTTATTAGTTAGCATGCATGGAGCAATGCATGTTCGATCACAGCAAGTGTAAATTTGAATGTGTAAAGCTTATGTACAATGCTCCCTTAATTAAGTGCACTTGGGATTTAATCAGATATATTAGAAAGGAAATATTTGATGTATGTTGAGGGTTCTGTTTGTCTACGTACTTATGGGGCCAGTGGGGTAGCCAAGTGCTTAATTAAAGTGTTTGCGCATCACGCTGAAGACCTGGGTTTGATTTCCCCTCATGGGTACAATGTGTGAAGCCCACTGCTGGTGTCCCCTACCGTGATATTGCTGGAATATTGCTAAAAGTGGTCACAAAACAATACTCACCCACTACATATTTATGTATAGGTGTAAACTGCAATTTCTTCATTTTTTAACACTGATCGTAACATGAGTTAAAAACAGTTGGATTCAGTTTTGGATTGAAGAGATAAATGTGTTGCACTTCTCTTTTGTTTTTCCATTTACACTTTATCACCTTAGTGTATCAGAAATTAAAGGACTGATGCTATTTATGTCAGAAGCTTTTATTTTTGTTAAATTATTCAACGTCTTGTCAGCAGTAATTTTTTTGATAACCTCTAATTATCCTCCGCCCAACGAAGTTGGCGGGGGATATAGAAACGGGCTCCGTCCGTCCGTCACATTTCGTTTCCGGAGCATAACTCATAAACCGTTCAATATTTTTTCATCAAACTTTGCAGGTCTGTCAGGTACATGCTGAACTGGTGCCTTTTGCTATTGAGTAATTTTAGAAATTTTATTTTTTACGTTTCCATGGCAAAAAGATGGACTTAGGTTCTGTGAGGGTAGGGTTCATTTCCGGAGCATAACTCATAAACCGTTCAATATTTTTTCATCAAACTTTGCAGGTCTGTCAGGTACATGCTGAACTGGTGCCTTTCGCTATTGAGACATTTTAGAAATTTTTATTTTTTACGTTTCCATGGCAACAAGATGGACTTAGGTTCTGTGATGGTAGGGTTCGTTTCCGGAGCATAACTCATAAACCGTTCAATATTTTTTCATCAAACTTTGCAGGTCTGTCAGGTACATGCTGAACTGGTGCCTTTCGCTATTGAGACATTTTAGAAATTTTTATTTTTTACGTTTCCATGGCAACAAGATGGACTTAGGTTCTGTGAGGGTAGGGTTCGTTTCCGGAGCATAACTCATAAACTGTTCAATATTTTGTCATCAAACTTTGCAGATCTGTCAGGTACATGCTGAACTAGTGCCTTTTGCTATTGAGAAATTTTTATTGTTTATTTTTTACGTTTCCATGGCAACAAGATGGACTTAGGTTCTGTGAGGGTAGGGTTGGTTTCCGGAGCATAACTCATAAACCGTTCAATATTTTGTCATCAAACTTTGCAGGTCTGTCAGGTACATGCTGAACTGGTGCCTTTTGCCATTGAGAAATTTTAGAATATTTTTATTTTTTACGTTTCCATGGCAACAAGATGGACTTAGGTTCCAAACTCATCTTTTTTTTACAATTTCCATGACAAGTTCCACCTCGGTTAAAAAAGGTTAGGGTTTGTTTAGATTCAACTATGTCATAAATTCTGCAACAGGGGCGGGGCATATAGCCACGTTAGTGGCAAACTCTTGTTTCAATTGTTTGGGGAGGCATGGGTGGCCCAGTAGTCTAAGGCACTGCGTTTCACTGTGCAGAGTTGCATCCCTTGGACACGCCAGAAACCTATGATTGTTGGTTTGAATCCTGGTTCGCCCCAATTATGTTTTTAGGTGTGTCAACACCATACCCGTGCTCGTGGGTTTCATCAAAGTGGTTAACGTCTAAGACCTGCATCACTTTTGGCTTTCCTCCCACATTAAGCAGACAGGCCATGATATAACTGGAATAATGTTAAAAGCGGCGTTAAACCCAACTCACTCACTCACTCTGAACTGGTGTGTTTGGCTATGCAGGAATGTTTTAACATTGTTTTAGCATTTCCAAGGCACCAAGTTGGTTCAAATGAGGATAGTGATCATTTCAGGAACATAACTCTTCTTGTTTCTTTGTGAAACTTTATGTAACTCATAATTCCGTATTTCTCGATGAAACTTTGTGAGCATATCATATATCATACATCATTACAACCCTGTTGCAATCCGGGGTTAAAATAGGCCCCCAGCACCCTATCCATGTACATGTATTGAAAGGTGACTCAATGGATTTGGGGTGGTCAGGCTGGCTGACTTGGTTTATTAACATTTTACCTTGACAGTGGGTATGTGCTCATAATGCCCTGTTTATTAAATAACAAGCATGATACATAAATTCAGGATTTGTTTCATTTGTTTGCTTTAGTGTTTTGAAATACTATTTGACATTCCTATCAACTGAAAAGTAAGCTGCGATTAAATGGATTGGGTTGTCAGGGCTATTTGGTAGATTGTTATACCACGAAGCCATGGGCAATTGCTCACAATATCAATCACTTGTTTGTGTGGTCCATACTTGAATGTTTACAGCCTTGTCGCATAAAGCAGGTATAAACAACTAATATGTTTAAGGAATGAACCGCACTCTACTTTTCACAATCCCAGTATCAAAACCATGCAGAAGTATATTAGGTGTAAAGTTAACCCTATAGTATTGTTTTCTCACAAAATTCAAATGTAAATTGAAATCATTTTTGTTTGGGTGTAAATTTCAGTTGATCTGTTACATGTTTGTACTAAATAGAAAATAAGCCCTGGTAGCAGTGATTGGAAGCTAATCAAGAGGTGACAAGATGTAGCTGTAACAATTAATTATGCATGCTTGCCATCATATGTCAAACACTTTCAGATTCTTAATTGTCTGAGATCAAGGTCATAGAAGAATGTGTAGTTCTACATTCCTTGTTCTGCCTTTTAGTTTTACTATGTAATGGCCTGCCTTTTTTTCTGAACAAATTAGGGCTGGTAGCTGAAATAAAAAGAAATATTGGAAACATTCTTGTAGAGTGAAAACTAAAAATGCTGAGCATGGCTTAGAGGATCTGTAAACCAAATATTAATAAACAAGGCCTTATATATAAATTGTTTGTTAAATTTACTTATGAAAGTTTTTTTTTGTTACTATTTTATTACCGTATTCACTGTAATAAGTACATAGAATTTTTCCAATTGGGGCGCTAAGTAAAGACGTACACAACACGTTAAGTTTGTTGTCGGAGATTGAAATGTTATTTCTGCAACTTACTCAGCCATTTGTGCATACATCATTATGACATTTGATATGGACCAAGTGTGTGGTATGTAGAATAACAGATAAAGAGTTTTTTTAGGACTACGTAGTACGTACATTTTTGGTCAAGCTTCAACCTTTGACCTTGAAGTACCCAGGCTTTTCGAGTGTTTCATTTTTGACAATTATAAGGCCCATGGAGCTGAAAATTCAGATGATCAGAGCTATGGTGTCTCTAAAGAGCTTACAGAATTCTGATCTGATTGTTAAAACATGTCTGCTATTGTAATGAAAGGCTGTGTGGTTCCATAGGTCAGTGTGTTTCTACCTTTGACCATCACAAGGTGGGATGTTGTAACCTAGCAACAGTTCTCATCATCAGTTCATCTAAATCAGCTTCACTGCCTTTTGAAAATGTATTTTGTTCAAATTTATGAAATATTTTTATTTTTCAGTCGACAGAACAATGGCGCTGCCAATTTAGAGGCTCTTCAACAGAAATTAAAAGAACTTGACATAGATGACCAACAGCGAGAAAGATTAGAACAGTTCCTCACCCAGAAGCAGAGGGTTGGAGAGCTTGTCGAGGAGGACTTTGAGAAGCTAGGTGAACTCGGTGCCGGGAATGGGGGTGTGGTCACCAAAGTCCGGCACAAGCCATCAGGACTTATCATGGCTCGTAAAGTAAGAAGTACTCCTTACTTACTGTACCCTACCTACTACCTAAAAGGGAAGGGTTACATAGTTATACCAAGGAATTCTTTCTGTCCGTCCCTCCGTCCGTCCATCTGTCCTTCCGAGGACATTTTTGAGTGCGACCTGTGACTAAAAAACTACGGCATAGATTATTTTCAAACTTAGTAAACACATTCTATAATGGAAAGAATTTCACGAAAGTAAGGATTTATTCATGAAAAATGAAAGCATTTTCCAATCAATATAATAGACTGTCAGTAATTAATTCAATATATGTCATGTCATGTTTTTGTCAAATGTCAAGGTCACTTTGAAGGTGATTCACTCATAAAGTGATTTGTAAATAGTTTTATTTAGGAAGTATTGACAGTGTGATATGGTGACTTCATATTTGTAATACCACATAGATGTTTGATGACATGTGATTGGATGACATTGAAGTCAAGGTCATTCAGTGTGAGTTGGAATTTGTCAAAAGCAGAGTATTAGCTAACTTGAGTATTTATTGTTTTATTTTGACAATATCGTGTACATGAAGTCTAAGGCAGGGTCTCAATCACATCACATTTTGGGAGACCTCCATATAAGATCAAGGTCACTTGAGGTCAAATTATGAAACATGGATCGGAAAATATTATGGAAAACTACATGAATTTTCACTCAGTTAAGAAGTACCCTGTAACTAACTCAACACATTTGTCATGATTGTGTCAAATGTAAATGTTTTGAAGTTCATTCACCCTTCTAAAATGACTGGAAATAATTGCATTCATGAAGTATCATTAGTCTGGTATGAAGACTACATATCTGTAACACCACCTAAGATTTCAACAAGCAATGTTCTTGCATGTTATTGGATGATATTGAATGCCAAGATCACTCCAGTAGACATCCACAATATAATATTATTGAAAATCCAATCATTTTGACAAAGACATGTCACAGTATGTGTGATACTATGGAGTAGCGCTACAAGTCAAGCTGTGTCCTTGGTCCTTAATTTGACAATACACTCCCTGCCTAAATATATTCTCACTTGTATTATATAATATTGCAACTATATCATGTTATTAGAAACATTTATGAAGTAAAGGCAATTTTAAGAATTGAGTGTTGGGTTTGCAAAAGATATGCTGCTAAATCAATACAGTGAAGTCTTGTTAGTCTGGACTTTATTAATCTGTAAAAACGACATCTTTCTGATGGGGACACTCATGTATTCACAGTGACAAAGACCTGTGAAGATTCCAGGGTAGAATAGGTCTTCAGCAACCCATGCTTGCTGTAAAAGGCGTCTATGCTTGTCATAAGAGGTGACTAAAAGGATCGTGTGGTCAGCCTTGCTGATTTGGTTGATGCATGTTATCGATCCCAATTGCATAGATTTATGCTCATGATGTCAATCACTGGATTGTCTGGTCCAGACTCTAATATTTACAGACTGCTGTCATATAGCTGGAATATTGCTGAGTGCGACCTTAACATGATTAAACAACAAACAAACATACAAACACAGTGACATAACAAAAAAAAGGGTGAGTTTCTTCCACTGGGATGTTGTCATCAGTACAATGATACTCATGTAGATTCTATACTGCTGTCACTGGCAGAGGATTATGGCCAGAAAACGTAGACCTGGAATTAAGCATGTTTTGATTATTTCAGTTGATTCACTTGGAGATCAAGCCAGCTGTTAGGAACCAAATATTCCGGGAGCTGAAAGTCCTGCACGAATGTAACTCCCCATACATAGTTGGTTTCTACGGTGCATTCTACAGTGATGGGGAGATCAGCATATGCATGGAATACATGGTGGGTTTATACTTCTGTAGGGAATACATGGTGGGTTTATGCTTCTGCAGGGAATACATGGTGGGTTTATACTTCTGCAGGGAATACATGGTGGGTTTATACTTCTGTAGGAATACTAGGTGGGGTTATACTTCTGTAGGGAATACATGGTGGGTTTATACTTCTGTAGGGAATACTAGGTGGGGTTATACTTCTGTAGGGGATACATGGTGGGGTTATACTTCTGTAGGGAATACATGGTGGGTTTATACTTCTGCAGGGAATACATGGTGGGTTTATACTTCTGTAGGGAATACTAGGTGGGGTTATACTTCTGTAGGGAATACATGGTGGGTTTATACTTCTGTAGGGAATACTAGGTGGGGTTATACTTCTGTAGGGGATACATGGTGGGGTTATACTTCTGTAGGGAATACATGGTGGGTTTATACTTCTGCAGGGAATACATGGTGGGTTTATACTTCTGTAGGGAATACTAGGTGGGGTTATACTTCTGTAGGGAATACATGGTGGGTTTATACTTCTGTAGGGAATACTAGGTGGGGTTATACTTCTGTAGGGGATACATGGTGGGGTTATACTTCTGTAGGGAATACATGGTGGGTTTATACTTCTGCAGGGAATACATGGTGGGTTTATACTTCTGTAGGGAATACTAGGTGGGGTTATACTTCTGTAGGGAATACATGGTGGGTTTATACTTCTGTAGGGAATACTAGGTGGGGTTATACTTCTGTAGGGAATACATGGTGGGTTTATACTTCTGTAGGGAATACATGGTGGGTTTATGCTTCTGTAGGAATACTAGGTGGGGTTATACTTCTGTAGGGAATACTAGGTGGGTTTATACTTCTGTAGGGAATACATGGTGGGTTTATACTTCTGTAGGGAATACATGGTGGGTTTATGCTTCTGTAGGAATACTAGGTGGGGTTATACTTCTGTAGGGAATACTAGGTGGGTTTATACTTCTGTAGGGAATACATGGTGGGTTTATACTTCTGTAGGGAATACATGGTGGGTTTATACTTCTGTAGGGAATACATGGTGGGTTTATACTTCTGTAGGGAATACTAGGTGGGGTTATACTTCTGTAGGGAATACATGGTGGGTTTATACTTCTGTAGGGAATACATGGTGGGTTTATGCTTCTGTAGGAATACTAGGTGGGGTTATACTTCTGTAGGGAATACATGGTGGGTTTATACTTCTGTAGGGAATACATGGTGGGGTTATACTTCTGTAGGGAATACATGGTGGGTTTATACTTCTGTAGGGAATACATGGTGGGTTTATGCTTCTGTAGGAATACTAGGTGGGGTTATACTTCTGTAGGGAATACTAGGTGGGTTTATACTTCTGTAGGGAGTCTTGGTGGGTTTATACTTCTGTAGGGAATACATGGTGGGTTTATACTTCTGTAGGGAATACATGGTGGGTTTATACTTCTGTAGGGAATACTAGGTGGGGTTATACTTCTGTAGGGAATACTAGGTGGGGTTATACTTCTGTAGGGAATACTAGGTGGGGTTATACTTCTGTAGGGAATACATGGTGGGTTTATACTTCTGTAGGGAATACATGGTGGGGTTATACTTCTGTAGGGAATACATGGTGGGTTTATACTTCTGCAGGGAATACATGGTGGGTTTATACTTCTGTAGGGAATACTAGGTGGGGTTATACTTCTGTAGGGAATACATGGTGGGTTTATACTTCTGTAGGGAATACTAGGTGGGGTTATACTTCTGTAGGGGATACATGGTGGGGTTATACTTCTGTAGGGAATACATGGTGGGTTTATACTTCTGCAGGGAATACATGGTGGGTTTATACTTCTGTAGGGAATACTAGGTGGGGTTATACTTCTGTAGGGAATACATGGTGGGTTTATACTTCTGTAGGGAATACTAGGTGGGGTTATACTTCTGTAGGGGATACATGGTGGGGTTATACTTCTGTAGGGAATACATGGTGGGTTTATACTTCTGCAGGGAATACATGGTGGGTTTATACTTCTGTAGGGAATACTAGGTGGGGTTATACTTCTGTAGGGAATACATGGTGGGTTTATACTTCTGTAGGGAATACTAGGTGGGGTTATACTTCTGTAGGGAATACATGGTGGGTTTATACTTCTGTAGGGAATACATGGTGGGTTTATGCTTCTGTAGGAATACTAGGTGGGGTTATACTTCTGTAGGGAATACTAGGTGGGTTTATACTTCTGTAGGGAATACATGGTGGGTTTATACTTCTGTAGGGAATACATGGTGGGTTTATGCTTCTGTAGGAATACTAGGTGGGGTTATACTTCTGTAGGGAATACTAGGTGGGTTTATACTTCTGTAGGGAATACATGGTGGGTTTATACTTCTGTAGGGAATACATGGTGGGTTTATACTTCTGTAGGGAATACATGGTGGGTTTATACTTCTGTAGGGAATACTAGGTGGGGTTATACTTCTGTAGGGAATACATGGTGGGTTTATACTTCTGTAGGGAATACATGGTGGGTTTATGCTTCTGTAGGAATACTAGGTGGGGTTATACTTCTGTAGGGAATACATGGTGGGTTTATACTTCTGTAGGGAATACATGGTGGGGTTATACTTCTGTAGGGAATACATGGTGGGTTTATACTTCTGTAGGGAATACATGGTGGGTTTATGCTTCTGTAGGAATACTAGGTGGGGTTATACTTCTGTAGGGAATACTAGGTGGGTTTATACTTCTGTAGGGAGTCTTGGTGGGTTTATACTTCTGTAGGGAATACATGGTGGGTTTATACTTCTGTAGGGAATACATGGTGGGTTTATACTTCTGTAGGGAATACTAGGTGGGGTTATACTTCTGTAGGGAATACTAGGTGGGGTTATACTTCTGTAGGGAATACTAGGTGGGGTTATACTTCTGTAGGGAATACATGGTGGGTTTATACTTCTGTAGGGAATACATGGTGGGTTTATACTTCTGTAGGGAATACTAGGTGGGGTTATACTTCTGTAGGGAATACTTGGTGGGGTTATACTTCTGTAGGGAGTACATGGTGGGGTTATACTTCTGTAGGGAATACTAGGTGGGGTTATACTTCTGTAGGGAATACATGGTGGGTTTATACTTCTGTAGGGAATACTTGGTGGGGTTATACTTCTGTAGGGAATACATGGTGGGTTTATACTTCTGTAGGGAATACAGGGTGGGTTTATGTTTCCTGTTGATTTCAGGTTGGTAAAGACTCGGCTGAGAGTAATTAGTACTGTGTTGTTTCAGGATGGAGGTTCACTAGATCTGATACTGAAGAGAGCTGGCAGAATACCTGAACCAATACTTGGTGTCATTAATGTTGCGGTGAGTAGCTGGCAGCACAGCAGTGTATGCCAGGGTTTATTGTCCTGTGCCAGGGTGTACTTCTGTGTGGGTTGTCCTGTCCAAGGGTGTACTCCTGTGTTGGTTGTCTTGTTCCAGGGTGAATTGTCCTGTCCCAGGGTGTATTGTCCAGTCCCAGGGTGAATTGTCCTGTCCCAGGGTGTATTGTCCTGTCCCAGGGTGAATTGTCCTGTCCCAGGGTGTATTGTCCTGTCCCAGGGTGAATTGTCCTGTCCCAGGGTGTATTGTCCTGTCCCAGGGTGTATTGTCCTGTCCCAGGGTGTATTGTCCAGTCCCATGGTGTATTGTCCTGTCCCAGGGTGAATTGTCCTGTCCCAGGGTGTATTGTCCTGTCCTGTCCTGTTCCAGAGTTTATTCCTGTGTGGGCTGTCCTGTTCCAGAGTGTATTCCTGTGTGGGCTGTCCTGTTCCAGAGTGTATTCCTGTGTGGGCTGTCCTGTTCCAGAGTGTATTCCTGTGTAGGCTGTCCTGTTCCAGAGTGTATTCCTGTGTGGTGTTGTCCAGTCCCAGCATGTACTTGTGTGTGGGTTGTCCTGACCCAGAGTGTACTCATGTGGGATTTCCTGTCCCAGGCTGTACTCCTGTGTGGGTTGTCCTGTCCCAGAGTGTACTCATGTGGAATGTCCTGTCCCAGGGTGTACTCATGTGGAATGTCCTGTCCCAGAGTGTACTCATGTGGAATGTCCTGTCCAAGGGTGTACTCATGTGTGGAATGTCCTGTACCAGGCTGTACTCGTGTGTGGGTTGTCCTGTCCCAGAGTGTACTCATGTTGGACCTGTACCAGGGTATACTCCTGTGTGGGTTGTCCTGTACCAGGGTGTACTCCTGTGTGGTTTGTACTGTACCAGGGTGTACTCCTGTGTGGGTTGTCCTGTACCAGGGTGTACTCCTGTGTGGGTTGTCCTGGACCAGGGTGTATTCCTGTGTGGTTTGTCCTGTACCAGGGTGTAATGTATTCTTGAGTGGGTTGTCATCTGCTAGAATGTACTCCTGATCGCAATCCCTACAAGACCTGCAATAAGTTACTATTTATCAATAACTGGGTCCCACCTTGTGGACTATCTAATAAACTACATTTGTTGGTTTCAGGTTTTAAAAGGTTTAAGTTATTTGCGAGAAAGGCACCAGATTATTCACAGAGGTAGGTGTAAGGATTTATATTAGTTATTTTTGCCATTTGGGTTATTTTCTGAAGCGTTTTAAATACTTATTACTCAACATATGTATGATGGCACACTGTTGTACCCTGGTATATCTATTTATTATGATCTTTCATAAACCATTTGATCCCCCTGCTGATACTTCATGTACTTGTAAAGATGTCATGCAATGTAAATGTCTTTTTAGCTCACCTGACTGAAGTAAGATTATATTATGTCATCATCTCGAGGCAAGGGAGTTACCTACTTGTGTTTTTAATTGTGGAACTCAACACATTCCATATTTTGTAATACTTGCAAGTTTCACCTTATTATTATCTTGTATTCTCTAAAAAAAACTATGCTCTGTAAACCTCTCCTTGGAAATGGAGAAGCTGAACTTTGGCATGTATATTCTCCTTATGATGACATCTTAATTTGTTCAAATCATGAGAGTTTAGTTTTAGTTGTTTGTCCTCAGTATTTACATGATTTATGCAGAAAATATGTTCATATCAATGCTGACAGCAACTTTTGTTAAAGCGGTTTTCCTTGTTGACATTTTTAACTATTAACTACATATCCATGTGAGCAACAGTGTTGTGGTGCTTCTATCATGTCCTCTCTGAGGCTGTTTATACCTCAGTAGAGCCCAACTCTATATGTTTTATGCAAAACCCTTTTGTTGACCCTACTATCACCTGGCGTTGGAGCACTGCTTTAAGTCACTGGTCGCATTTGGACATGTTGTCAAGCAAGAATACTTTGCCATTGCTATGTTTTTATCTGAGCATCCAATGATCAGAGGACTGGCTTCCCCCTTGCTGGAAAATAAAGTGTGTTAGTTGCATAGTGTGCTACAAGTATTGCTAACTGTAACCAAGTGAAACTTTGGACATATATTCCAGACCTGGATTAATGAATGTTGGAAAGATACATCTGTTAACTGATCCCTCCGGGCATATGGTGTGATGTACCCTGTGTGTGAGCCTATCGGTTCAGGGTACATAGGCTCACACTCGTGTAGATCAGACCATATGCCGCTCAGTATCGGTTGGCAATGTATTCATGTAAGGTGGAGGAATGTAGAGTATACAAGCACATGGGCACGAGTATTGACTCTCTTCCTAGTTGCCCTGACAGATCAGTATGTCGCTTCCTGTGTGGGATTCAGGGAGAGAATTGATGTTCCTGATACTGCATGATGGCTTCATGCACTGATATACATGGGGATCTGGTGGACAAGCCGGGTCACTTGTTTGTATGTGGGTAACCGTGAAGATTCCGGGATAGAATAGGTCTTCAGCAACCCATACTTGCCGTAAAAGGCGACTATGCTTGTCGTAAAAGGCGACTAAAGGGATCCGGTGTTCAGGCTCGCTGACTTGGTTGATACGTGTCATCGATCCCAATTGCGTGGATCGATGCTCATGATGTAAATCACTGGATTGTCTGGTCCAGACTCGATTATTTTACAGACCGCCATCATATAGCTGGAATACTGCTGAGTGCGTCGTTAAACAACAAACAAAGTATGTGGGTAACTGTACCTAGGGGTGTATTTCTCCTGCAGTCAAGCTGGGGTTTCCCTACTACACACTTGTTTATCTACAGGCCCCAGCTATATAGCTGGAACATTGCATACTTGGGTGAAAAAAACACCCAAAACGAACATTGAAATGTTAATTGGTCTTGGGTGTATGCAGCACTAGACAGGTTTCATGATGTCAATAGAATGTATAGAGTTGCATTATTTTTGACAGATGTGAAACCATCGAATATCCTGGTCAATTCAAGAGGAGAGATAAAGATCTGTGATTTTGGTGTCAGTGGTCAGTTGATCGATTCCATGGCCAACTCGTTTGTTGGCACACGGTCCTATATGGCGGTAAGTTGATTCTCACGTGGTCGCAGGCTGACATTGATGCCGAGAATCGAGTGATCTGCATGTATTCTGTTAACAAGTACTTACCGAATGTACTGACTGAAGCGAAGAAGCCAAATTGTCATTTCATTGTTTTTTTCAAATCACACTTTTCAAGGTGTAATCACCTGGTTATATAACATGTATAAGGAGAATGGGATACATTCAGCATGGTCACCTTTCTGGTTGCCATGTTTGCTATTGTTGTTTCTCCCAGGGGACCCTAACCCAGGGAAGATTCCCAGCAACCTATGCTGTTGGTAAGAGGCAACCAAATACATCGGGTGGAGAGGATCACTGTCGATCGAGGGCAGCTTGTGCATCATGGACCCGTGAAGATTCTGGGGTAGAATAGGTCTTCAGCAACCCATGCTTGCCATAAGAGGTGACTGCTTGTCGTAAGGGGCGACTAACGGAATCGGGTGGTCAGGCTGGCTGACTTGGTTGATGCATGTCATCGATCCCAGTTGTGTGGACTGATGCTAATGATATCAATCACTGGATTGTCTGGTCCAGACTATTATTTACAGACAGCTGACATATAGCTGTAATATTGCTGAGTGTGTTGTTAAACAACAAACCAACCAACCAAGCTTGTGCATCATGAAATATGTTTGTGATGCAACCATACATCGTGACACCTCTGGGGGCACGGGTGGCCCAGTCGTCTAAGGCGCCGCGATTCGCTGTGCAGAGTTGCGTCCCTTGGGCACGCCAGAAACCTATGATTGTGGGTTCGAATCCCGGTTCGACCCGATTATGTTTCTAGGTTTGTCAGCACCATACCCGTGCTCGTGGGTTTCACCGAAGTGGTAAACGTCTAAGACCTGCATCACTTCGGGCTTTCCTCCCACATTAAGCTGACACGCCGTGATATGACTGGAATACTGTTAAAAGCGGCGTTAAACCCAACTCACTCACTCACTCACTCACTCACTCGTGACACCTCTACTGTTTGCTTCAGTGTCACCTTTCTTGCTTTGTCAGCCCGAGCGTCTCCAGGGGACACACTACTCTGTACAGTCGGACATCTGGAGTCTGGGCCTGTCTCTGGTGGAGATGGCTATAGGCAGGTACCCCATTCCACCTCCGGACCCCCGGGACCTCAACAGTGTGTTTGGGGATAATGTCATGGATGAACACATGGAAGCTGCCAAGTCAGGGAAGCCATTGAGAGGTCAAGTTTATTTTGTATCTATAATATTAGTGTTGAAGTCATTGTTATGATTGATTTACGATTGAAACTGTAGAATAATTTATTTATTGGAGATTGATAAGCTGGTTGATAAGTGTTTGTTCCTCACCAGAATCTGGGAGGTTTCAAATCTCACATCTAGTTCTCACTTTGTAATAATAACTTTGTGAAACATGACCACACTACTCCTATACATTTGTCTGTTTGTCAGCGTCTTTCTGTTGTACAGTAAATATATGATATCTGGGACATTGTGTCATTGCCATCATGTTGAACACCAGCAAACCACAAGACTCTTACTGAAATAGTACATTCCTTCGCCATGAAACCCACGACTAACTGACATTGTACAATGCCTTCCATCATAGACATGTGACCCCAGCTGAATTAGTACATTCCTTCGCCATGAACACACGACTAACTGACATTGCCTTCCATCATAGACATGTGACTCCAGCTGAAATAGTACATTCCTTTCCATGAACACACGACTAACTGACATTGTACATTGCCGTCCATCGTAGACATGTGACTCCAGCTGAATTAGTACATTCCTTCGCCATGAACACACGACTAACTGACATTGTACATTGCCTTCCATCATAGACATGTGACTCCAGCTGAATTAGTACTTTCCTTCGCCATGAACACACGACTAACTGACATTGTACATTGCCTTCCATCATAGACATGTGACTCCAGCTGAAATAGTACATTCCTTTGCCATGAACACACGACTCACTGACATTGCACATTGCCTTCCATCATAGACATGTGACTCCAGCTGAATTAGTACGTTCCTTCGCCATGAACACACGACTAACTGACATTGTACATTGCCTTCCATCATAAACATGTGACTCCAGCTGAAATAGTACATTCCTTCGCCATGAACACACGACTAACTGACATTGTACATTGCCTTCCATCATAGACATGTGACTCCAGCTGAAATAGTACATTCCTTCGCCATGAAACCCAACTCTTTCAGTCAAATCTGTATGCTTTACTTCATGAGAAGTGAACTTGAAATGAGAATTCCAGGTTGAAATAAAAAAAAACCTTCAAGGGGGCAGCCATCTTGTTGTATAGGTTTTTAATTTTTAATCTGGAATTCTTATTTAAAGTTCACTTTCAGTGAACTAAAACATAGATATTTCAAGGTAAGTCATTAAGAAAGAGACTGGTATATAAATTATCAAAAGATATTTTATGATTTGTAGCTACTCACAGATGTAGAGGTCCCCTGTAAACTCTACGTTGCAAGTATGTTAACATTTCTAAAGGTACTATCCATAGCCCTCAGCAGTGACATAGAAACACAGATAGTACACAAGGAGCAGATTGAGGGGACACAGTAACCGCATCTAGTCAGTAAGTCTGCCTTATGTGTAAGGTATAGGTTTTTCGGGATGAAAATAGCACCAATATCTTGATCTCACCAGGGAGTAAGTTTATCATTTCCAAAACATGACATGAACAAAGTAGACACAATTTATGGATGAAAACTTCTTTAATAACTGAAGGCAGAGCTTCAGATAAGCTGCATATCTGTGTGAAACACGCATCAGAAATGCAGAAATACACAGTAAAATAAAATCCAAGCGTATCAAATACGCAACGAACATTACAGATACGCTACAAAAATAAAACTCGTGCGTATCATCAAAATATTGTGAAGTAACCCTGCGTATTCGATTAGCAAATCAGCAACTTATTTTGAAATTATAAATGGGCATTCCGTCAACTTTGCCAAACTCCACGTTGACAGTTACATCGTGATCATTTGCCCTCACACTTTTTTGTGGAAGTATCGTGGTATTTTTTATTCCTATAAAGCTCTCGAACCCACACGACACCAGTTTGTAGGGACTAGATGAATAGTGTTTTCAAATATTAACTTGAATACCCACGTGTAAAAACTAGTGGGTAACAGAAATTTGAATACCCAGATAGAATTACTGATACCCAATGATTTTAAAATGCATGGGTAAAATACCCACAACACCAAAAGCTTATCTGGAGCTCTGGAAGGCAATGTTTTGGTTCAGATCTTTATACTGTTGTCAAGCAAGACTGGTCAACGGTATAAGGATCTTTACCGAAATGTCGCCTTCACAGTCCATAAATTGTGTCTCCTTTGTCATCCGTCAACTTCTAAGTAATGCCTGTCAAACAATTTAACATGACATGAAGTTGATGAGATGTTGCATGTGAGATATGAGGGTGGGAAATTCCAGGATTTCAGTAATTACCTCAGCACAGCAGATAATCACACAACACATTACTATTTTATAAATTTTCTGAAAATTGTTTGAGCTCAATAAGGCCTTGTGACCTTTATTTACATGTATGAAACCCTATGTCCCATGCAAGCTAAGATTCTTATCGAAACCAGAAGGTCAGTTTTCAGTAGCAACAGATGAAACAATCTGCCCAGTTTTAAGACAGTTAAGACGTGACCAACTGAAGGTGAGCTACAGAATGTGACCTGATGCATGTGACGGAGGAATTCTTACTCATTGAATTATGCATGATTTCCTACACATGTTTATTTTCAGCATTAAAATAACTTCCAAGCCAATGTATAATGAGTGCAAGTGCACTCACATTGAGGCAGCCATGTGTACATTGTAGTAACTATTTACAGGCTGTCCCGGCGAGTTTGAAATTACAGGAGATGGGCCCCTGCCAATGGCTATATTTGAACTTCTAGAATATATTGTAAATGAGGTAATCTCAATGTCATAATATGGAACCAATCCACTGTGCAGACTTTGCCATCTTTAAGCACTGTATGATTGAGTCATGAAAACACCTTCCTTCACACACTCAACTGGCACTGGTAGGCAACAATACAACAATGATGGATGGCTGTCAGACAGCTGCTGTATTGTGGGAAACTGAGAACCCTTTGTTCATTTGGAACCCCCCGGTAGACATGTCAGTATTCCAGATGTATTGTAAATTGTGCTTTTGGGGAAACATCCACGGCATGCATGAATTAGAGCAATACATTTTCTTGTGCTGCATGGCACTACATTTCACTCGGCTTTCTTAAAATAATCCTCATGCTGCCAACCTAACTGTTAACTGTTACCCAACTCATGTGTAACCATTAGCATGATCAGGAACATGTGGGAACAGGGCTTCATTTATGTTGATATTGCTAGTGTCACATGTTGATGGAAGTAACTTGTTGACAATGTCACGTGTTAATGAAGTTGCGTATTGATAAAGTCGCATGTTGATTAAGTCGCAAGTTTAAGAAGGGAAGTGTTGATAGTCACATGCCGATAAAGTCGTGCTTTGATAAAGTTTACATATTTTCTACAATGTGAATAGAAGGTGCACTTCCACCGCTTCATTGACCTCCAGTGCGGAATTGTACATGCTGGTCCAATTTTATACGTCTATAAAAATGAATATTCAAGCTGTACACAACAAAGAAGGTGTTTTACAGATGTCGAAATACACAAGTGGAGTATTGTGTCAGTAACTACTTAACTTCAGTGAAACGCAAAAACAAAACATGTTGAGTTACTCGCCAAGGAAGAATGAGGTGTTGGTACTGTCAATGTTTCTGTAATCGGAGGAAGGTGTTTTCACTCTCATGCCCTCAGAATGTTTGTGTCCTCAGATATACTTGACTGTAACATTTCCTACTCAGTAAATATCCCAACTTCCTGAACTTCTTTCAGGGAAACAGAACACGCATGTATCAGGGATTCATCCCAACCCTGTACATGCTTGTGTGTTTCCAGTCAAGTCTGAACAAAGGGCAGATAACTCTGATTCCTTGAGGTGGAGGTGTTACGGTGGTCATGTCATCTTGTTTACTGATATATATTTTTTGTTTATTTTTGTTTTTTGCACTTTCTTCTTGCTTTCTAGGCAGCCGAAATAGCTATGTATGCCCGCCGGGCGCTGACGCTCCCCGACCCATGGCCATATTTGAGCTTTTAGATTACATTGTGAATGAGGTATGTTAAGTGAGGGAGATGCGGCAGTATATCTGTATCTGCATATACCGTATAGTCACAGAGAGCTGTCAGGTACTCTGTGTCTCAAATGTTGCACCATTCATTTCCACTTTTCTGTTACCTGGTATTTTCTGTGTGAAATCAGTTAAGTTTTACCCCATTGTTTGCTGTGAGATTCTATTCATTAAAATTTCATCACTTGCTTGAAAATTGCACCAAAATCTTGATTTTGTTAATTTGCAACAAAATGTTTTATTTTGCACAAGTCATGCCATTTCATCATGGAGGAGCTCTTACTCCCTGTCTAAAGAAGTGAACACTATTTAGTCAGGTCAGTCGAAATGACACTTGTTCACTTGGAAAAGTTTGGATACACACTTTCCTTATTAAGGCTTTTCTTTTTTGAATCAAGTCTCATGAAGCATCAGAAAAAGGCTCTTTACAGTAAATGCCAGTGGTTATACCCAAACCAAGAGTTACTTTAATTGGTTGTACACTGATTTCTCTTGTATCAATCCTTTCTCATTTCAATTTGCTGAAACATCGCTTATCTGTTTTGATTATCATGCACAACAATCCCTTTGTCTGGTACTCTCCCTTCCGATCTACTTCCATTATTCATTTGCTCTCGCATGACCTGACAAGCTCGTCTCGAACTGTACGGTATAGGGAGATAGAGAGAGGTATTTGTTATTAACACTGAACTATGAGACCTCTACATGTAGCTAAGTCATCACATCCATATCAACACCCTGCACTTCCTGTGACCATATCATGGTGTTTTAGTTGATATTTTCATTTCATTTTCTTTGGTATTTTAAGTTTTTTTCTGCATGTCATTTGTTTCTGGATATGCCTTGGTCTGAAAGTGGTATCTGATTTCAGTTTTCTGTATATAGGGGACAGAGAGGATATAGCATAGAATGGTGATTAATGAGGATTGGCCAATAGCTTGGTTTGGGTTTAATGGGGCTTGTGGGCTGATGGCTTGAGATGGGTTTAAGGTGCTTGAGGACTGATGGCTTGAGACGGGTTTAATGGGGCTTGTGGGCTGATGGCTTGAGACGGGTTTAATGGGGCTTGTAGGCTGATGGCTTGAGACGGGTTTAATGGGGCTTGTGGGCTGATGGCTTGAGACGGGATTAAGGTGCTTGTGGGCTGATGGCTTGAGACGGGTTTAAGGTGCTTGTGGGCTGATGGCTTGAGACGGGTTTAAGGTGCTTGTGGGCTGATGGCTTGAGACGGGTTTAAGGTGCTTGTGGGCTGATGGCTTGAGACGAGTTCAATGGGGCTTGTGGGCTGATGGCTTGAGACGGGTTTAAGGTGCTTGTGGGCTGATGGCTTGAGACGAGTTCAATGGGGCTTGTGGGCTGATGGCTTGAGACGGGTTTAAGGTGCTTGTGGGCAGATGGCTTGAGACGGGTTTAAGGTGCTTGTGGGCTGATGGCTTGAGACGGGTTTAAGGTGCTTGTGGGCTGATAGATTGATGGCTTAAAATGGCTTGTGGGCTGATGGCTTGAGATGTGTTAAAGGGTGTTGGCTGATCAGGTGGCTTGAGACGGGTTTAGAGGGGGTTGTTGGTTAATAGATTGGTGGGTTTAAAGGGGGTGTGGTCTGATGGCTTGAGATGGGTTTAAAGGGGGTTGTGGACTGGTGGCTTGATGGATTGAAAGTGGCTTTTGGTCTAATACTTTATGATGGGCATAGTGGACTGATGGCTTGATGGGTTTTAAATAGGGTTTTAGTTTATTGGCTTGAGATAGGGTTAAATGGTGTGTGGTTTAATACTTTAAGATGGGAGTTGTGGACAGATGGTTTGGTTGGTTTTAAAGGGGGTGGGGTCTGTTGGCTTGAGATGGGGTTAAGGGGTTTGTGGTCTATTGACTTGAGATGGGTTAAAAGCTTTGTTTTTGGGGTCTAATACTTAAAGAAGGGTTTTAAAGCGGGTTAGGGTCTGATGGCTTGAGATGGGTTTCAAGGGGGTTGTGGGCTTATTAATTGAGATGGTCTTAAAGGGGTTTGTGGCCTGATGGCTTGAGATGGGCTTAAAGGGGGTTGTGGGCTAACAGTAATAGTTCTCATCATTTCAGATCAACTCTTAAGGTGCTATTTTGTTGTTCTGTGACCTGTTCACAGAATTTTTAAATATTTCAAATCTATGCACTTTGTAGATTCAGGCAGCTAAATGATGTTTGTACAAAGAGAAACATTTGACTGAATCAGTTTGAATGGTTAAAAGTTCTTGAAGAAATGTATTACAGGTAGTTGTGACAGGTTAAGATTTCGTTCTTGTGTTCTCATGTACTCTCTGTTGTGAAGTATGGATGCCAAGTACACTGTGTCTCAGACATCAGCACTAACTTGTACCCATGGTTTTAGTTTGATTGTTTCAGTTTTCTGACAGCAAGTACAGAATGTATGCAGAAATCTGCTCTCTGCCTCATTTAGATGGATGATTCATTTACATTTGTTTAAAATTCTTTTCATGTTACAAAGTTTAGATGCTTAGATCATGCTCTTTAATTGAAATGCTGTCATTGTTTTTGCCATCAATATGCCCTCAAAACCTTTCTTCTTTTACCATATTGACTTTTTGCTTTTGGTAATTGTCTAGACTGTCAGTGCATGTTGAGCATGAAAGTGTTGTCAGTTGCTCTTCAACATTCAGCATGTCCGCTCCAAGATTCTAGACTCATTTTCCTATTGTTTGTTTGACATGTGGCACACCACTGTGAACCTAGAGGTCTCATAACTTGTTTGATTTAAGTATTTCTAGTCATTGACATCCGGACCTTGTTTCTTGTCTCTGTAACAAATGAACACAACTAGCTGACTCCGTAACATACCTCACATGATGTGGATGATGATGATGATGATGATGTTGGTAATGATGATGATGATGTCAGTACCTTGTGAATTAACATGACTACCAAACTTCCTTTTCTCTCCACCCTTTTCGTGGTTGGCATGTTGTTGAAATATTTTATCATTTCTTGGTTGGTAGCTTCCGTCTTGTGCAGATATGTTCTCCTAGTTGACCCCTCACTTGTGAGGGTTATAGACCGCCACCTGGCTTTCATATTTTGCTATTAGCTATTATATTTGGCTGGTCTGTTTACTTTGGCAGAATTTACCATAACAGCTTTTAGCTGGTGTTACTCAGTGAGTAAAAGTATGCTGTGATGTAGGTTGTGTTGCGGTGAATGTTGTCAAATTGTTTGTGAACTTATGAATATTTGTTCAATTTAAGAAATTCAACTTTTGTGTTGTTGTCGTATTTTTTTCCAGTATTTATGTCAGGTAGATAATGAGCACTTCCAGTTTCGATTGGTGTACATTTGAAATAATCATGTCAAACTTCTGCCACAAGCACCTGTCACTGGTTCAGTAGGCTGTTGGACCATGTGTATTGGGTTGAGATCACATTTACAGTTACACAGAGACAGTTAAGCTAAACAGTCAATCACTCATCAACTACCAGATGTAACTTGTTCACCGATACATCTCTGGGTGAAATGTCTAACATGAAGAACAGTTTGTTGTGAAGACAGTGGAACAATGTTCACACATATTAGCCCAACATGACCATCACAATTCATTTGTCTTGTGTTGAGTCTCCAATGTCCCTAGTCCAAAGTCTATTGCAGGGATAGGGGGCGATCGGGTAGCCTAGTGGTTAAAAGCGTTTGCTTGTCACACTAAAGATCCGGGTTCGATTTCCGACTTGGGTAGAATGTGTGAAGCCCATTTCTGGTGTCCCCCGCCATGATATTGCTGGAATATTGTTAAAAGCTCTGTAAAAACTACACTCACTCTCTCACCATTACAGCTGAACTTACTGCAACACACACATACAATATCTTCACAATATCTTCCTTTTGTTGCCATTGCTGGATTTTGAAGTAGATGTTCTGTTATATTTTCATCTTTTTTTGGGGTTAAAAGCCTTGCCTGCTGTGAGAATGCAGCAGACATTCTCTACACAAACTTGTTTATTCATGTCATTTTCATAATTTCAAGGGCCGTGGGGGTAACTCAGTGGTTAAAACTTTCTCTCATCACACTGGAGGTCTGGGGGTCGATGCCCACATGGGTACAATGTGTGATGCCCATTTCTGGGGTCCCCTGATGTGATTTTGCTGAAATATTGCGAACAGCGTTAAACCACTCATTTATGAGATTGGCATTAAACACAATAGCTTGTCTACATATCACCTGTTATGAATATAGTCTTTAACATGCTGACTGGTATACTCAGGTAATGTCAGGTGAATACTGTTTCAATTCAATAAGGTTGCTATTGATCATGACGATGGCACTCACAATAGGGATATTGGTAGTGATGGGTATTGTGCAGACTTAGACATGTATTTTTAATGTATTTAATGTTAACATTTTTTGTTATTAATAAATATGAGTAATCGATACATGATTAATTTGTTTGAGAACTGAAATAATGTCCACTGCTTTGTAATTAATACACATTGATGAAGGAAACAATTGTCACTTCAGTAAATAATTATTGCTTAAATATTAAGAATTAATGAAATCGTTTCAGTTATTGTGAATGATATTTATGAAGACTGGGGTAGATGAGTGACCCACCCACACTGGCGCCCAATATGTGGTACATGTGTAGATGAGTGACCCACCGACACTGGCGCCCAATATGTGGTACATGTGTAGATGAGTGACCCACCCACACTGGCGCCCAATATGTGGTACATGTGTAGATGAGTGACCCACCCACACAGGCGCCCAATATGTGGTACATGTGTAGATGAGTGACCCACCCACACTGGCGCCCAATATGTGGTACATGTGTAGATGAGTGACCCACCCACACTGGCGCCCAATGTGTGGTACATGTGTAGATGAGTGACCCACCCACACTGGCGCCCAATGTGTGGTACATGTGTAGATGAGTGACCCACCCACACTGGCGCCCAGTATGTGGTACATGTGTAGATGAGTGACCCACCCACACTGGCGCCCAATGTGTGGTACATGTGTAGATGAGTGACCCACCATGACTGGCGCCCAATGTGTGGTACATGTGTAGATGAGTGACCCACCCACACTGGCGCCCAATGTGTGGTACATGTGTAGATGAGTGACCCACCCACACTGGCGCCCAATGTGTGGTACATGTGTAGATGGGTGACCCACCATGACTGGCGCCCAATGTGTGGTACATGTGTAGATGAGTGACCCACCCACACTGGCGCCCAATGTGTGGTACATGTGTAGATGAGTGACCCACCCACACTGGCGCCCAATGTGTGGTACATGTGTAGATGGGTGACCCACCCACACTGGCGCCCAATATGTGGTACATGTGTAGATGGGTGACCCACCCACACAGGCACCCAATGTGTGGTACATGTGTAGATGGGTGACCCACCCACACTGGCGCCCAATATGTGGTACATGTGTAGATGAGTGACCCACCCACACAGGCGCTCAATGTGTGGTACATGTGTAGATGGGTGACCCACCCACACTGGCGCCCAATGTGTGGTACATGTGTAGATGAGTGACCCACCCCCACCGCAGTTCTGTTCGTGGTACATGTGTTTGCTGATGACTCTGTTGCAGGCGCCACCATCGCTGCCTAAAGGAAAGTTCTCTGATGGGTTTGATGACTTTGTAGAAAGATGGTATGTTTCCGAATCAGTTACCTCCCTTATCAATATAACGTATTCGACGTAATAAGCGCCCAGGGCGCTCTCAAAATTAGAAATATGGGGGCTCTTATTAGAATATTATTTTGGTGAAAAAAAAACAGAGTTGAAAGATAAATTTTGTGGTTTATGCTGACAGCCTGAAATGTTTATATACGATAGATATATTTTTCCCGAATTTAATTGCCCATAATTAAGGGTGCGTATAACACATGAGTGCGTATTATACGCGAATAAATAAGTCTTGTGTACATTGATCAATCGGAAGGGGTGCTAATTGGGATTGTTCACTAGCCAATATATTAGCAAATATTGCCGTGGGCGCTTATTAGAGTGGGGCGCTTATTACGTCGAATACGGTACATTGTAAACTGAATATCATATGAGGCGTTACGGATTATCTGTTCCGAATCTTGGTAAGAAACATCAACAGTATTTTATGGACAGATATGTAATTTCGAGATGTGTGTAGGTTATTCTTTATTTTACTCTTAGTCTTTTTCTGAGAACATGAAGAAAATGTATTTCCTGATTTCAAGTAGAGACACAAGCTCAATTAGCCTGCTGTTGGAATGATGTAACATAAAGTCGTTTGTGATGTCATGAACAATGGATGGCGTCATCTTCAATTTTTTACGACAATGCGTTCATATGGCACCTTGTTGCTATGGGCTTCTTTATAAACAATGAAAAAATTGGAACAATTTAAATGAACTAGCCAGTCATCATGAAGCAATATATATCATGCTCGGTCAGAATTAATAAATACAATTTCCCGGATGATATGCTTTTTTGCTGTCTAAGAATCTCCATTATATTGGGCAAAACTACATTTTGACAAGATGCTAGGACTTTAAGGGTCTTTTATTGACTCTAGATGGTGAAGTTATGGAAGAGAAATATATTTTGGGTGTATAGAAGGACAATGCTGTAAAAACTGATTACTGTAAGTTAAGTTTTGATAGCTGGCCATTTGATGGTCTGGAACCATAGAGAACTATTGTGTCCACTTGTAGTGAAGCAGGTCCTGGAACTGAGATGTACACATACCGTATTCGATGTAATAAGCGCCCAGGGCGCACTCAAAATTAGAAATAGGGACTCTTATTAGAATATTATTTTGGTATAAAAAAAAACAGTTGAAAGATCGTAAATTTCGTTGTTTATGCTGACAGCCTGAAATGTTTATATACGACAGATATAATTTTCCAGAATTTAATTGCCAATAATTAAGGGTGCATATAACACACAAGTGCTTATTATACACGAATAAATAAGTCTTGTGTACATTGATCAATTGGAAGGGGTGCAATGGGGATTGTTCACTAGTGGGCGCTTATAAGAGTGCTTATTACGTCGAATACGGTCAATCAGAATCATCTTGGTGCAAGGGTCTGTGTTGAACCTGCTGAGGTATTATGTCTTATGCATCACCATAGTCCTGTGTACACCACGTTACACCATTACCAGTGAATATTATGGCCAAGATGAGATGTGGTTGCTGTTTTTAATGAACAAATCACGCAAAGACCTTTGACAGTGTAAGGGAAGCCAGCGAGTGCTCCAACCAGTGAGCATTTACCTTCCATGTCACAAAGACCCGTGAAGATTCCGGGGTAGAATAGGTCTTCAGCAACCCATACTTGCTGTAAAAGGAGACTATGCTTGTCGTAAAAGGCGACTAACGGGATCAGGTTGTCAGGCTCGCTGACTTGGTTGATACATGTCATCGATCCCAAATGCGTGGATCGATGCTCATGATGTCAATCACTGGATTGTCTGGTCCAGACTCGATTATTTACAGTCTGCCGTCATATAGCTGGAATATTGCTGAGTGCGGCGTTAAACAACAAACCAACCAACCATCCATGTCACAAAGGGCAATGTTCCTCACATGAAAACATGTGCCGTAAACTTGTGGCTGCCTGCTCAACTGTGACAGGCAGAGGCGGGGTTCACAAATTATATAAACTGCCTCCCTGTATTTGCTTACTTGAAAACATCCCTAAAACACTGCATAGCAGCTGTATGTATTCATATGTAATGGAGGAAATCATGTAAGCAAGCTGTATTATTGACAGTGGGGTTTGTTGAACTTGTTGCATTTGTTGTGTATGAGGTTCAGTGTTGAACCTGTTGAAGTACAGTGCATTCATATGAGGTACCTGCAACAAATTGCTCTAAGACTACTGCTAAAGTTCTGTAGTATTTACTTGTTCACTCACAATATGACTGAGGGTATTTGTTGCACCTGTTAAAGTAAAATTGTTAATCTTTTTAACAGCCTGAAGAAGTGCCCCTCTGATAGAGCTGACCTGCAATCTCTCATGGTAAGTCTAGCCTCATTGTGTATATGTTATTAACATGTAATGAATAAAAACTGGATGACATTCCTGAAATACTGTTAAAAGTGGTGTTAAACCCATCTCACTCACTCACTCACTCACTCATCCACCAAGGGGAGGTCAGGTAGCCTAGTGGTTAAAGCGTTCGCTCGTCACGCCAAAGACCCAGGTTTGATTCCCGACATGGGTACAATGTTAAAGCTTGTTTCTGGTGTCCCGCCGTGATATTGCTCAAATATTGCTAAAAGCGGTGTAAAACCATACTCACTCACTCATCCACCAAGAGTCATAGGACTTTCTGTTTTAGAAATGTTTTGCATTAAAAATGTTTTTTTCCAAACCAGGGAGTGATTTGTTAAGCCAGAGGTGCACGTAAGTTTTCTGTTTAAAGTTGACTTGTATTTTATGTATGTTTTCCCAAACCAGAAGTGATGTTTTTAAACCCGATGTGGTTATGTTTGTTATTGAGATAGCCTAAGGCACAGTTTTGATGCTGTCAGAAATAGATGTGGCTGGGGATACTCCTGTTTCTGTGGAGGAACGTAACACTTTACAAATTTTGTCTTCTTGCAGAATCACAACTTTGTTAAGAAATGCGAGAGCAGTGAGGATATAAATATCGGCCAATGGGTTTGCAAGGTGATGAGCATCAAGGAGGCAAGCTGAGAACAGAATGACTTCCTTGACTAGTGTGAGCGTGTAGAGTGTGTGTGTGATTGAGCATGAATGGATGTCTGAAGACTGACTGGCAGATGAAGAAACAAACATCAAAAAGGAAGAAAATGGCCACTTTTGATTCACAAACAGATCCAACCTTTTATTTTGTGTTTGGAGATTCTAAGTAGTTGTGCTGTGTACACATTTATAGCTCAATTTGTTTTAATATTTTAGTACTGAAATACTAGTGCTATCTTTTTTATTGTAATAGATTTCCTTTGACATGTCATCCTGATTTGTATTGCTGTGTGTGGCATTAAGATAATCAACAGCATATTGGTCCACACAGAATAAGAGCAAAAAAACATTGTCAAAAAAGTGCTATTTGTGTGTGTAATTTTGATCTACAATGAAATAAAAATATGCTTCTTATAAATAAATGATAATGAGTATGTCACGCTCAAGGAATGTATATAATCATTTTTGATGATCTTGTAGGTTTATGAGGTGAAGTTGGCATTGTATCACATGTTGGGTCTTGAATATAAGGCCTCATTTTAGATGTTAGCAGCCTTAGGAATTCGTTCTTTTAAACACTAGTCCAGAGGACTATTGTGAACCTTATTCACTATTCCTCAGAGTTAATAGCTAGTCCTGCTTGAATGAAAGAAAACGTTTGCTATTTTTACAGTTATGTCAGTTTTGTTCAGTTGCAATTTGTAGCAAAATTGAAGCATTGAGAACTGGTTGAGAATTATAGATCTCCAATGCTACTAGTCAATGAGGACTAAGATCCCTGGACTTTAACATGTCTTCAGCACAATTTAGTTGTAGGGTCAGGCTACAGACGTGAATTTCTAAGGCTGCGTCTCATGTTGTTTCTTAAATAAAAGTCCACATTTCAGTTGGAGTTTAGCACATGTTCTAGGTTCTCATTGATACAAGTAATCTGGAGTGGTCCGTGAGGTAGCAGTGGTCAGCACCAGGGTCATGGACAAGGGCATAGAAAGTAGGGCATCCTCCATAGACTCAGGCCTGTACTGTAGTACCTGCTGCTCTCGACTTCTATTTAGAGCTGTGTTCCACTTCATTGTGTGTCTCTGTGAATATATTACCTCAGATTCCACATGTCGCTGTTCGACTGACTACATTGTGTGTCCCCCTCTGGGGATGGTTGTCTGATTCCACAGATCTTTCTTTAGGGATATGTTCGACTACATTCCCCAATGGAGATATTGTTCCACAAGTCATTATGTGGGGCTCTGATAACATTGTGTGTCTCTTGTCAGACATTCATGGTGCTATTGTGAATCTGAATCCGAATTGAGACACATGATGTTCATTTACAGAACTGGAGCTTGCATGGACTTCACTGTCCCCCTCTGCCACTCAGTTGACATTGTCCAATTGGGATGAATTCAGTAGAATTACATTAAATCACAAGGATGCATTGGCTACAATCCCCTATAAAATTACACATTATTTTTCTTTGAATTTTGTTCTCTAAAAAAGTCAGGGTTACTGTTGGCCCAATCATAATCAAAGGTGCAACCATTTTGCTGTGTAGAGTTGAGTCCCCTTGGCATGTAAGGATCCTATGATCGGTAGAACAAATCACAGGTTGTCCCTGATTATGATCCTTGGTTTGTCAGCATCATCAGTGCTTGTGGACCTCACCAACGATCTACATCACAAAACTGTCCTCCCACATTATTCTGACACAGCATGATATGACTAAGGTATCGCCTTGATTTTATGCATGAGTGACACAGTACAAATTGACCATGACCTTCTCCTGCTGTGGACATGTCCTGCAAGTTGGAAATATACCACTATTGTTTGTCTTTGAAATGTAACAATATTGGACCATAATGAATATCATCCCGGCTCCGCATCATGTAATATTGTAACCATGAGTAACATGACATTATGGTGTAGTCCCAGAGCACGTAGTACGACAATCATGGGTAGCATGACATTATCTGGAAGATACTTATTAGTTGTCAGTTCCTTAATAAAATCGTTTTATATCAACACTTAATAATTTCTGTAAAATTGCAGCTTTCATTTTACTGACATTTCAGTATGCGATTTGTTGGTTTGCAAGACGGTGAATAGCCAGAATCTTTGAAAAACTCATCTAAATGGTGTAGTTTCGTGGTGAGTGTAATGATTGTAACTTGAATGTTGTTTTGTCCTGGAGGCTGCCGACTCTGCCAAGAGGAATGTTGCAAGGATATTGTCAGTGTTAGCACTAACATCATTTCATTGTATATGTTCATTGTCTGTTATCACCCTCTATCCAAATTCCAGAATCTGATTTACCCATTCAAAGATGGAGCGACAAGATGACAAAATATGTATGAAATTTGTGCGACTGCTTCAGTTCATTGAATGATGTGGCAGTTGATGAAATTATGCACAATGTTATTGCAAGTCGCTCATTGTTATTGTGTATGTTTTGTTAGTGTGTCCTGTAGTTGATGAAACCAACCGAAATCTAGCTTGTTCTCCACTACTGGTATTGCAGACCTGCATTGCACGCATGTGGAATGCCATGCTATGGATGGCCACACAGGTCATGTGGTAGACCTGCCTACCATACTGTTGATGGCCACACATACCATACTATTGATGCCGATTAAGCCTGTGATACGTCTGCTAGAACTTCAGCTAATCATGAAGTTCCTACCCCAGAAGTCCAGTCATTCTGCAAGGCCATAGTTAACTTTTTATGACAGGGGGGTCAAATATTTGTACAAGTATCACTTGTCCCCAACTTGATTCAAATAAAACTGTTTTCTATATACAAAAATCTAGGGGAGGGGCAACTACCTACCGGCTGGCTACGGCACTGTTCTGTAGTCACTTGCACAAAGCGATCTTAGTGCTAAGATCATCTTAAGCCTATGTTAAAGTATGGGAATTACAATCATCTTAGCGCTAAGATCGCAAGTGCAGTTGGGTCCAGGTCAGAATTATACCCTTTTCACGATACTTTATTGTTACTACAGTCTTACTCAAAGTATGAACATCTCATATGATCAGTCAGTACAGGTGTAGGGTCCAGATCCCCCCATCCCATGCACACTCCCCTCTGACAAAACCAACAGACAGTGCAGGACCCACACCTGTCCTCTTACTAGTCTCTTCACTAACACCACAGGCACAGGTGGGCTCCATACCTAGGGTTGTCCCCACCACCCACCCCCACACCCACCCAGGATACACTAACAGGTCAGGACTTCTGCCACCTTTCACAGGACAAACTAACACTACACATGTACATAACCATTTCCTACCAGATGTTTACTACATTGCTAGTGATATTATTTATTCTAGTAGTTTGAAAATAATTATATACTATTTACATATTTGTAAGTTGTTTTCATGGAGAAAAGTCCATCTATTTTTCTGAATTTTGAGATATTTGATTATTAAATGTTGTATGTATATTTCCATTTAAGCTGGTGTCCTGCCCCTTGACCTGTGTGTCTGTGTAAGGCAGATGATTGATATTATAGCATAGTCTGCCTTTTAAATGCATTTAATAAAGATCTATATGGATATTTCAACTACTGTTACTTGTCTGTAATATTTAATGCAAAGGTTGGATGGTACTGGCTGACTTGCTGAAACAGGTAACGATATGAATAAAACATTAAGATATGTTTCATCTGTGTGATGCTGAAACTTCACATGCTTGTTCCCACCAATGACATCTGAATTTGTTCAAAATGTTGTTATGGGCATTTTGTACAAAATGTAATGAAATTTGGTACATGTGTGGTTAGAACTGACCTGAACTTTGGCATGTATATTTCTCCTTTTGACAGATCATATTCATCAACTTCAGTTCAGTTCAGTCCAGTGCCTGTCTCACTGTTTATTGCATATACATGTGATCTGCAGTAGGCACGTCCGGGGTAGTTTGTTATTCTGTGCATTACATCGGGGGACATGACTTCAGAAAATTTCATTTTTGTAGAGGATGACGTTAATGAACAACAAACATGTACAGTTGCACTCATTCCCGTGAAGATCCAGGGTAGAATAGGTACTCGGCAACCCATGCTGGCCGTAAAAGGCGACTATGCTTGTCGTAAGAGGCGACAAACGGGATCGGGTGGTCAGGCTCGCTGACTTGGTTGATCCATGTCATCGTTTCCCAAATGCGTGGATCGATGCTCATGATGTCAGTCACTATTTACAGACCGCCGTCATATAGTTGGAATGTTGTTGAGTGCGGTGTTAAACAACAAACAAAATATTAACATTTCCCTTATCTGTGATAGTCAAAGAAGTATTATTTATAGCTTCTGGTGTGGACTAGTTTACACAATGAGCTAGAGTTTCATTTATACCTGTGATATCCAAACAGGTATTATCAATCAATCAATCTCAAACACAATCACTCGATTATCTGGTCCAAACCCAATTATATATAAACCGGCTTCACATGGCTGGAATATTGCTGAGTGCGGCGTTAAACAAAAAACATTCGGAACTTGCGGTTTTATGTTCATTTTGAATATATTGAAATCTGATCTGCATTCGCTCGTACTAAGAATTTAGGAACCTTGTCGCTGATTGGTTGATTTGAATGAGGGTTTGTCAGATCTTCACCGACAAAGGTACACACTCCACTGAAATATTTTATGACATTGCAACAATATATAATTCCTTGCAACTTGCAACAAAAACAAGAACTGCCGAGAGATCTATTCTTGGCCTATCTTCAACATATCTTCATATGTAGGTCGGGTCAGTTCAGTATATTCTCAGAAAATCCCACCAACGGTAGTACAACATTATAATATAAACTGATAAATGCATATGATCGCTACGACCGTGAAGATCCGGGGTAGAATAGGTCATCAGCAACCAATGCTTGCTGTAAAAGGCGACTATGCTTGTAAGATGCGACTAACGGGATCTGGTGGTCAGGCTCGCTGACATGGTTGATGCATGTCTTCGTATCCCAATTTCGTGGGTCGATGCTCATGATGTCAATCACTGGATTATCTGGTCCAGACACTTATCATTTACAGGCCGCCGTCATATAGCTGGAATATTGCTGAGTGCGGCGTTAAACAACAAACAAACTTAAAGCTGCAGTACTTAATAGACGCAAGCGAATGTCATACGGACTTCGCCAGTAACAGAAAACGTGACCAAAGATAAACGCGAATGTGAGCCTAATTCCGTAACATTCAAACACTTTGCGCCTTTCAGTGGCACAAATGGGGGTCTTCATTTTGCCGGTAGGTATTGTTCTCATATAAAAGACTTACTCGTTATTGATTTTAGGGGCGGTCGGGTAGCTTAGTGGTTAAAGCGTTCGCTCGTCACGCCGAAGACCCGGGTTCGATTCCCGACATGGGTACAATGTGTGAAGCCCATTTCTGGTGTCCCCCGCCGTGATATTGCTGGAATTTTGCTAAAAGCGGCTTAAAATCATACTCACTCACTCACTATTGATTTTAGCGTGGCTGGATCATACAGTTCGCCCTGAGTTTAGCTCACCAATCAATAGTGCAACAGACTACAGCTTTGAAATCACCGAACAGTTATTTTTAATCCTCAGCCTGCCGACTAAGTGAGAACAAACTGTACACATTTACCACCGTAACAATGCCCTTATCGTGATCTAATTTCCCTTAGAACATTCTCGAAAGCTACATCGCAAATGCGTTCTTTTAATCACTTAATGGCGTGTACAACATCATCACCATTTAAGGTTATTACCCTGTTATTTTGAGAAAACGGCATTCACTTTTACTGTTGCAATTTCCTCTCAGGGTTGTATAAAGGCAATCGAAGCATTTGGTACAAAGACCTTCTTTCATTCTTTCTTCAGTTACGCACGCCTGGTCCATTGTGCGTAACAATAACAACAATAAAGTGATGAATCCACGCGCGACACAGCGGAACTTCCCACGCTTCAGTTTATTCTCAGAGAAAGACCCACCAACGGTGGTACATGAGAAAAAAGTAAATTATATAATATATATTATAAAATCAAGATGACAGCGGTATTGTGCAAATACATTGTTAGTTTCAATGAAATATGACAACCTTAAAGTGACAGGAATCTCACGTGTTTTTACAGCTTCAACATAACTAAAGATGGTATTGATGGATTTAGACAAGTTTTGCATATCTTTTACTCTAATGCTAGATAAACATTTTTTTTTTTCAATTTATACATGTAAGGCCATTTTGAGAGATCTTAAGGTATGTACATAGACCACATGTTAATGAAACTCGTCACCAACCGCGGGAGAACAACATAAACTACACAAACGTTCCACTCCTTGGGTATCAGACAAGCGTCTGGTTTCAATTGGTAAGTTACGGTTTGTGGTTCTAAATGTGCTGAGAATTGATCTGAGACTATATGACTTCAGATCCAGGTGTTCATACTTTTCATAGATATCGATCTGATTATACCCTTCAGCCAAGAATCTGGTACAAATCCGGAATTAAGTATCAGGCTAAAGAGGTGAGGTGAGGTGAAATGGGGCTTATTGCACTTATATAGCGACGTGCATGTACGTGTGTGTGTTTGTGTTTGTGTGGCTGCTTGTACTAGTCCGGACTGATGCCGATTTATAGTGCTAGCTCACTGAGATACTATGCCGCAGTTTAACATGAATACCCCACCCAGACACACGTCTTTTGGTATGACGCGGCCGGGGATCGAACCCCGGACCTTCCGCTCTCCGGGCGGACACTCTAGCACTAGACCACGGAGGCGGTCTATCAGGCTAAAGAAATCAGTTAGGTGTTGTATTAAATGTATGGTAGCATCAATAAAATAATCGTTTTCAACGAAATCTAACGCAGTAGCTTTATTTCTTTAAGGTTTTTAATGGCGGAAAGGACATCTTTGCCCGATATTACGTTATTTAAAACATCAGTGTCGTATTGTTGATCCTCTACAACATCATCGGGTATATCATCATTACATTGGGATTCATTAAGGTCTTTATGGAACTCAAAGAAAGTTTCAATATCAGGAGTATTTTCAGATTTAGTCATATCACATTTATTTAGTAGCTTCCGGTATTGTTTTGATGAATGTTTCTTAAGGTCACGAAACTGTTTACTTGTCTCATTTTAATATTGTCTTAAACTTTTGGCCATACATTTCTTATATGCTCTTGATATGTGATGATAGTGCGTTCTATTTAATAGGGTGTTACGTGACTTTTTAATTTTGTTTAGCTTTATTGACTTTTGTTTCGCATTTTTCTGCACTCATATTCCTGAACCACGGTTTATGTTTTTGTCTTCTTATTCTGTTCGGGACGATTCGCCCGAACGACGCTAACGTCAAAAGTTGTGCGTGCAGTGTCCACCAGCACGTGCGCTATGTCAGTAGCAATCTCGTTCACCATATCTGGGTCAACATCACTTTCGCGTGTACACTGTATACGCTCTTGAGGCGTGCAATGGTGGCAATATTTATATTATGGAAATAGAGTTCCGATTTCATGTTACTCGTATCATATCGTAACGGTTTGCCTGTACCAAAGTACTGTCGGAAATGCTAGAAAACTGCTTTTTGCGTGTTAAAAAAAGGATCTACTTTTCACAGACTGTTGTTATTGAAATATCGAGTAACTACCGATCGATCTATCTGTGGTTTGAAGTATTTCAGTCACAAGGAGTCCTATCGACAAGTTTACAGGAGACAAATTCGAACGAAAACAGGAGTTCACATTTATTCGAAGTCCAATGATGACAGTCTGAAACGGACTATAGAAATATGCGCACATGACTCCGTTTTAATGATAAAACATCTAATCCACACACAAAAATCATTTTCAGAGAATTCTGTGCATCATCTAAAATTACAAAATGATGCTGCGGTTTTTTGTTAATATTGCTACCATGATGCATGTTACATTAAACTTGCATAGCCATAACCATGGTACACGATATGGAGTCTGTACTGGGAAATGTATACAACTTTTTTACACTTTAGAGAGATAGAGGGAAGCCATTTATTAATTTAGATAGGGTGAATTACCGAACTGCCCAAGCTATGGGGTTTTTCAATTCATACCATCAAGTATACGATATGATAAGAAAACAAAACAGGTATAGGGGTGGTCTCAAAAACAAAACCGGGAAGTAACAGGATACTCCTAGTATTAGACAGCTTTGATCCAGGATGGTTAGGCGTATAGTGTTGATTTGTTTGTTGGTTAACGCCACACGCAGCAATATTCCAGCTATATGACGGCGGTGTGCGTATAGCCTAATGAGCAGAAGGTAACCCTGACTTGTAGTAGAATTTATGAGGAATAAAAGATACAATGAATGTTTCCCTCACTGCACTTACTATTGCTCTCCAAGAGATGGGATTTCGATACACTGCGCGTGGCGATGACCGAACACTTTTCAGAGGGAAATATTCCATCCTGTCTATGATGTCACATTATCCCCGGACCATTCATAACTATCACAGTCAGGGCGTCCAGATAATTTACCTTGATGAATCATTTCATTGACTACATCTGGCTATCGGCAGATGGACAAAAAGCACCCATAGTCCATCAGGTAAAGGTAATGGTGTCATTGTTTTGCACGCAGCAACCCATGCTATGGGGCTTATTGATGGATATGTGTTAGTTTTCGAGGCGAAAAAGAAAACTATAATGCATAAGGCAATTATAGGTGATGTGTTCATAGACTGATTGGAACTTCAGCTATTGCTCATTTTAAACAACGCCAGTGTTATTGTCATGGATAACGCCAGTTAATATCAAGTCCGGGAATCAGATACTGTTGCCCAAACCATGAGTAGTCTGAAGGCGACCATACAGGAATATATGACATTGTCGACTTCAGACCATATGAAACGAAAGTTCAACTCATGGAGAAAATTCGGCTGAATAAGAACCCTGTAAAGTACAGGACATATGTGCTGGCGGCACAACACGGTTACGTTGTCTTACGTACGCCAGTCAGACATTGTGAGCTCAACCCTGTTTTGCCCATCTTGGCTTAGTGTAACGGGTTCGTAGCAGGACACAACAAAACAATCAAAAATACAGATTCATACACTTACGTGGGTTTTATTTTTGGGATTTAAAAAAAAATTGAACAGGTCAGTGAACATCTGAATATAATGGTGAGTAATCAATAATTTCAAAACCAATATAAAGAAATAAACATAATGGTTTCGAAATAACATAATCCACTACAGATTTACTTTTACATGTTGCTTTTCCTATTGTTTGAGCCTTCCAACCATTACAGTTAAAGAGATGTTAAATTTTTACACAGTTCTATTAAGTAACCCAAAATGGTTAGCCATATCTTCTTCTTGTGTGCACTTCTGATGTGGTAGGCTAAGTTGATCTAATATATTCGATGGGTTAATATCATTTCCATTTTCTGGTAGATCCATTTCAAATTCATCGACAGTATCCATCTAATTTAAGATCATCAAGACCAAGTCCCTTTCTTAAACCTCACACATTCAGAATTATAAATGCTTAACTTGTGTTCATGATCATCATTTAGAAAAGCATCATCAACATTATCATCATCAAACTCATCGTTATCATCATCAGCAGCAGCAGCAGCAAACACATAATCATTATTAACATTTCCGACCCGTGAAATGCGGGGGTAGAATAGGTCATCAGCAACCCATGCTGGCCGTAAAAGGCGACTATGCTTGTAAGAGGTGACTAACGGGATCGGGTGGTCAGGCTCGCCGACTTGGTTGAAGCATGTCATCGTGTCTCAATTGCGTGGATCGATGCTCATGATATCGATCACTAGATTGTATGGTCCAGACTCGATTATTTACAGACCGCCGTCATGTAGCTGGAATATTGCTGAGTGCGGCGTTAAACAACAAACAAAATATTAACATTTCCCTTATCTGTGATATTCAAAGAATATCATTTATCATTTATAGCTTCTAATGTGGACTAGTTAACACAATGAGCTAGAGTTTCATTACCTGTGATATCCATACAGGTATTATCTTCAGATTCTAGTATGATGTTGTTTACACAATCAGATGCACTTTCCTTATCTGTGATATTCAAAGAGTTATTATTTACAGATTCTGCTGTGAAATTGTTTACAAAATCAGATACAGTTTTCTTTTCTGTGAAATTCAAAGGGTAATTATTTACAGTTTCTAATATGGAGTCTTGTAAGCGGCAAAACTACAGTATAAAATAACTACCACAGTCCGTTACTTAATCTAAGATGGTTCTACAGCTTGTTGCTGACAGAGGAAACCGATGAAGTGCATTGTATCTAAGAAAATGTATTGCAGATGTATTGGTATCCTGTACCCAGCCAGATTTGAAGTCTAAGGCGCCGCAATTCGCTGTGCAGAATTGCGTCACTTGGGCACGTGGGTTCGAATCCCGGTTCACCCCGATCATGCTTCTAGGTTTGTGTGCAGCATACCCGTGCTCGTGGGTTTCACCAACGCGATCAACGTCTGAGACCTGCATCACTTCAGGTTGTCCTCCCACATTAAGCTGACACGCCCTGATATAACTTGAATAAAACTGTTGAAAGTGGCGTTAAACCCAACTCGCACACTCATTGGAATAACGACTATGCTTGTCGTAAGAGGTGACTAACGGGATTGGGTGGTCAGGCTCGCTGACTTGGTTGATGCATGTCATCGTATCTCAGTTGCCTGGATCGATGCTCATGATGTCAGTCACTGGATTGTCTGGTTCAGACTCGATAATTTACAGCCCGCCGTAATATAGCTGGGATATTGCTGAGTGCGGCGTTAAACAACAAACAAACAAAACATTGGAATAATGTTTGATTTATCCTTATCCACATGCACCCCCCCCCCCCCCCCCCCCCCCCCCCCACACACACACACACACACACACACTTCCTACATGAAAGAAACAAACACCCTAGAGATCCACTCTTTTCACATTTTCACAGGCTGCTCTGGGTGTCATGTTTTGTTTGTTTGGTGAACAAAAACATAAACGCTAAACGTCTATTTTCACATATTTCTTTTAATAAAACAGTGCATTGTTCTTCTTAAATCATACTGCTTGTATCTAAACTAAATGTTGTGTAAGTATGGGTGGTCATTCGGACAAAAAATACATTAGTTGAAATAAAGGACAAAAGTACGCAAATACAGTCAAATGTGACGAAAAAAGTATTAAATGTGACTAATAAATATGGCCTAAAGTAATATTTGTTGGAGTATATATCTTTTGAAAATCCGAAATCCAAAGTGACAGTTCTGCTCAGCAAGCCTTAAAACGATCTCATATTGATATTAATCAATATCAATGGTATTAAATCTATTGTTGTATTACTATTATAACAACTGTAACACGTAAATAAACTCCATATTTTGAGCCTACTCAAAACCGAAATCTCCACGTTGTTGCTTTAATAAAACTGTTATAGCTCTATGGAGTGTTTCCCTTAGTCATTTCTTTTTTATCCCCGGACCCCGGCGGACTTCCTTACTGATTCCGCCGTTAATTGATCGGAGTTCTTTATTCTAGGTCTACAAATTCACCAGTCTCAATAACATCAGATCTCATAGGGATCGCTTCCGCTTCACAAAGTCTTTCGTGTAGCGGTAGTGATCACTTTGATCTGATTTGTATATCATTGACAAACTCACATGATTATCGACAAGCATTGTACACCACAGCGGTTGTCATATTTGCCTCAAAAGGCCGAAATAGCTGGATCGACCAGCAAGACTCTATCAGGAACAAGACATATTTGAACAAACGAGATTACTTGGGATTGTAAGCGTCTCTTTCAGAACGCTCTGTGAATATCACCGCATGACAAAGATGTCGGTGTTTTCAACTGGGTACATTGTGGACGTAGTTCAGTGAATATGTATTTGCATGAACGCAAGAAAAGAAAGCAACATCGCATATAAAAATGGAGACTCCGCGGCGTTGACCTTTGACTGTTGAGACACGTTATGACCATGTGAGACATCTGGGCGTGTTTTTGCATAACCCTTGTAACTAATCCACGTGTGCAGGGGGCGCCAGCTGTGTCTACTCGCCCACGGGGCGGCGTTGTGCTGATAGAGTAGGCAGATATCAGATACAATGAACCACGTGGGTTCGATTCCCCACATGGGAACAATGTGTAAAACCCATATTTGGTATCCCCACCTAACCCCGACCGCCGTGATATTGCTTGAGCGTCCACCCGGAGAGCTGAAGGGCGGGGTTCGATCCCCGGCCGCGTCATACCAAAATATGCTAAAAGATCGTACTTGTTACCCTGCATGGCGGTCGGCATTAAGGAGACAAAACGAGGACTGGTCGGCTCTGAGTCAGTATTCTGTGTCTGAGTGGGGTGTCACAGTGGGCTAGCACTACAAAATCTGCATTAATCCGAGGCTGTACATGATCTCCCACGTTCAGGAAGACCTCGCATGATGTAAAGGCGTGAGGACATGGCCCTACTTCGGATTGTACGTCGTTAACCATTGCAACCATCTCCTGTTCTGGAGCGCCAATGGTTACCCAATAGACGGATTTCAACCCAAACAGTTAAGAATCGAGTGAAATCGCCAGGAATAAAGTCCAGAGGGAACATCAAGCGTCCTTTCCTTGACAATCATCATTAGAGAATTCGTTTAGCAAGGTGTTTGGCCCCGAGAGCTTGTGATCTGAGGACTTGGCGAAGATTCCATTTGTCCGATGAGAGCAGGTTCCTGCCCCATGTCACAGATGGCCGATGGTGGGTTTGGAAGCGTGAAAATACAATCTACACACCCAGGAAGATAAGACCTACGACCAAGCACGACTCGGTAATGGTTAGATGTTGCCTGTCACAGATTGTAAGCTGGATCTGTCACCCTGCTAGGCAACCCCAATGGTGATCGGTACTTTCGTAACGTCCTGCAAACGGTTGTGCCGCATTTCGACAACCACCCATTCGCCACCCGACCTGTGTACATGGATGACAATGCAAGAACACATCGTTCCGCAGCAGTAACAGCTTTTCTCCGAAATGACGCTGTGAGTCCTGATCTGAACCCGCTGGAGCATATGTGGGACATCTTGGGGGGGTCGAGTACAGGCACTGGCCCCACCGCTACAGAATCTGGCCCAATTGGAGGCAGCTCTTCACCTGGAATGGCTGCAGTTGTCCGTTCAGTAGATCAGACGACTTACTGGAGGGATGAGACGAAGGCCGGAAGCTGTCATCCGGGCACATGGCGGATCTACCCGCTATTGATGATTTGTTTCATGAATGTCATCTTTGGACAATAACATTCCAAAATCATGATGTGGAATTTGGTTTCTGACTCTGCACCTCCATAGTAAATGGGGCTATTGCTTCTGCACAAATACAGAGCCTCTGAGTTTTTGATACAATCGTGATTAAAATCTCAAAAGCGAATATACTGTTCAAGTTACTCATCAGACGATTGGAAATTGTCTGCATACAGTTAATCTACATACTCGGCGACTACGGGTTGCACCATCGTTAACAGATCGACACATTCTGGTCAGACGCTAATGGTGTTTAGTGCGTGGAAACTAGGGGAATTGACGATGGTCTCGTGTAATGTTTTCGATTCACTCTGACTTTCTGAACATGCCTTGAGCGTAAGGAAATTTAACAGGTTTCTGTGTGGGTCTGTAAAGATATGGGACGGGATCAAGGACTTTGAGAACCCTACTGCATATTGTAAATGGATGGGTCACTGTACAGTGCTACCGAGTCAACACACGTGGTCTACATGTGGTCTTTCAAAACGATAACGCTTGTGCCCACTGCGAACGTATCGTAACTGACCACATCAAGCAACAAAATATCACTAGAATGCAATGGCCAGCCACGAGTCCTAACCTTTCCCCATAAAGCACGTCAGTGACGTGATCAGGAGATGTGTAAGAGAAGTGGACACGGATCCCTCAAGATGTCATTGGGAGATTGATTGATTAATTCGGATCATGTCACGATGTGCAAATGAATGTTGGGCAGCATGGGGGCATGCTTCATCTCAAACAAGTTGCTCCCTTACAATACACATGTTCTTCTGATAGTTACGCCTTGTCCTTCCCTTTTCTTATCACCCCATTATACTCGATACATCTTTGTATATTTGATATCGTCAGATATTTTCGGATATATACCCTAATTCTATTGGACAGTATATATCAATAAATCGTTCTACAGTCGTGTAGTTTTCGTTGCGCTCGTACGTACCAAACTGAGGAGATCAGACAAGATAATGAAACACCCACATGCTACTAATATTATGATTCCCATGCTGGCTATGGTGAAGCTAGAGGGCCGGTGGTCATCCGCACTTCTGTAGCGAGCCTCAAAGCTCGCCAGCCCCCGTGTGTTCAACAACAGACTTTCGCGAATGTCCTCCTTCCGCTGATGAAGGTCAACAGACTTCAGAGCATCGTATCGATGTCTTGCATCGCAGAAACACCGACACGGCCTTGTCGCTGGAGTTGAGGAAGAAGTCGGCTGTGTTGGAGAAGGAAGGGGCAAGGTCGTATACTGATGGTCTGCTGAATCTGCAATTACTGAAGCGGACGAAACAACGCTAGTTTCCCCAGTATCGTCCGTTAGGGGAAAACCGTTGTCGTAGTTTGTTTCAAGAATGCTACCTGTCAATGAAGGCACTGCATATCCACTTGATGATATGGCGTGAACGCTTGACTCTATTGTAGAACCACTTGACCATATGGTAAAACCGCTTGGTTGAACAGTAAGACCACTTGGCTCTGTGGTAGAACCGCTTGACTCAAAGGGATATGCGTTTGATTCAAGTGATTCTATGACATAACTGCTTGACGCTTTGGTAAAACCGCTTGGATCTACAGTAAGACCACTTGGCTCTGTGGTAGAACCGCTTGACTCAAAGGGATATGCGTTTGATTCAAGTGATTCTATGACATAACTGCTTGACGCTATGGTAAAACCGCTTGGATCTACAGTAAGACCACTTGGCTCTATGGTAGAATCGCTTGACTCAAAGGGATATGCGTTTGAGTCAAGTGATTCTATGACATAACTGCTCGACGCTACGGTAAAACCGCTTGGATCTACAGTAAGACTACTTGGCTCTATGGTGGAACCGCTTGACTCAAAGGGATATGCGTTTGATTCAAGTGATTCTATGACATAACTGCTTGATCCTCTGGCGAGACCACCCGACTCCACGCTATACACATATGTCTCCATATTATACAGGCTTGTATACGTAGGTGAATGCGCCGTCTCAGAGCTGCCGATACCGAGACCTGTATTGTTAGCGTGTAGCAACTCAGTGGTAACAGTGGTCGAACCTCCAAGCATAATGCCTGTCGAGTGTCGAATCTCTGAATCCACAGGACTCGGGTGCAGTGTAGTTGAAGTTGGAGTGGACACATACAGGACATCGTCAGTGAATGTTGACGTCCGCAAGGTTAGGGATGAACTAACACCCGTCGGTGTGCTCACTGATCTGATCACTGTCCAGCTGGCTGGTGATGTACTGGCTACTTCTGTCCCAGTGCTCTCGGCGCCACCTGGTGAGGCAGTTGGAAGAGCTGTGAATAACACATCACCAGAACATCAAACGCTATAATTACACATAAGAGCTTATAGCAATATATTGTCTCATAACGTGTGAATACGCTTTGTGATTAACGTTTTTAGGTTATCTAACTGATGAAAATTCCCGTCCTATCCATGGTAATAAATGTGTATAAGTAAGAAAAATATGTGTCCGTCCTCCTGTTTGAGCTGAACTTACATTACCCTCCTAACCTTCTGAACATATTGTATTCTTACAGCATGTTGTGCTATTCCCTGGCAAGTTGACTTTCCTTTTGAAAAATTGAATATGACCACCGCCGCAGCACACTTTAGTTAAAATAAAGCCTCTGTGCCAACTGTTTCTTTTACCAAACAATTTGGAAAGAGGGCACTGGGGCCTACAAGGCAATGGTAACAATAGCAATGATTTAAACTGATCTCTAAATGTGAAGCGACCTTATGGACGTGAACAATAAGTCCTCTATACTGACCAACAGGTGTTGAGGTGGCCAGCTGCTGTTCACACCCTCCTACAGCTGTGAAGATCGGCCTCTCACACGCTGGTCGCATACTGTCCCAACAAGACACGTCGTCCCACTGCCAGTCATACCAGTTCGCCACGGCCATACAATCCCCGCTGCCATCCGGCTGACTGTCAGACCAGCCACGATTGCACATCTGCTCCCCGCCAGACCAGGCCCAGCTGCCAGACCCTGTCCTGTAGCCACCCGTCCAGAAACTGTCCCCTGCAAGTACATAAACCAAAAAAATTTACGAGACCAATTTTCGAATTCAGTCTTGACAAGTATCTCTTAGATAAGCATAAACTTTCATGCATGCAACTTCTGTAGTTTCTGAGAAAACGTGTCCCCTTTTCACACAGTATGCACTAAGTCGAAAAACACGGAGCAAGGGCCATAATTCCGTAATAATTGAAATGAGACACCAATTTTCGAACTCGTTTGAGATCATGACCAGTAACATCAGCGTGTAGAAATTGATTTCTCTGACTAGTTTTTGAGAAAATGTGGTCCATTTGAGAACGACGACAGAAGGACGGACGGACGAACTCCATTCCAATATCCCTCGCCCCACTTCCTGGCGGGGAATAATAATCATAATTCATCTATTAATTTCTTTTCAATACGAGTACCATATTCATTCTTTCAAAATACACATGTGAATGTGTGATTTGAACAATATTTCAGTTATACACAATAACTACGTCCGTGAAACCTACTAATACAGGGACTGTGATTATAAAACAAGGATAATCTAATTGTCTTTATGTCAGTTATTTTCACGAGAGAGTAAATATTTCAGACGACTGTGACAAACCTAGAAACTTAACAAATGCACTTTTAAAATTCGATCCCAAGATCAAAGGTTTCTGGGAGGCCAAAAGAGCGCAACTCTACATTGCGGCGCTTGAGACGTCCGGCCACCAGTTTCACTGGTGCAACACAGAGATCTCTTATTTGGCACGCGTGAACACTATGCATGTACAAGTATCACTTGTCCCCAACTTCATTCAAATAAAACTGTTTTCTCAAAACTTATCAACGACTGGAATATATTCATGGGTAGGTGATGCGTACTGTTCAAACGGGCGAAATTCCTGAAGAAAGCGTCTTTCAGAGCCGTGTCAAGCCACACCAGACGGTCCCCTTTGTCCGTGCACATAGTCTCGCCTGCAGCACGTGCCACCCAGTCTGGCAGAAGGATCACACATAGGCCGGATGTGACGTCATACACATAGCCGTTTGAAGTAGGACAAGAGGTTAATGCTATGCATGAAATGAAAATTGAAAGTATGGAGTCAGTGGAATGCTGCAGAATGATTTGTTTTACAATTTAGTTGCATTTATTTCGCTTACAAACTTGTGTGATATCTCATTAGATTACACGACTGCCTCTGTGATCTAGTGGATAGAGAGTCTGTTCGGAGAGCTGAAGGTCGGTGGTTTGATGCCCTGGCCACGTCATACCAAAATACGCAAAAAGATGGTACTTGTTGTTACCCTGCCTGGCGCTCGTCATTAAGGAGATACAAGGACTGGTCGGCTCGGTATCAGTATACCGTGGGGGCGGTCGGGTAGCCTAGTGGTTAAAGCGTCCGCTCGTCACGCCGAAGACCCGGGTTCGATTCCCGACATGGGTACACTGTGTGAAGCCCATTTCTGGTGTCCCCCGCCGTGATATTGCTGGAATATTGCTCAAAGCGGCGTAAAACCGTACTCACTCACTCACTCAATATACCGTGTCTGAGTGGGGCATCACAGTGGGCTAGCACTATAAAACCGGCATCAGTCCATATTCGTATCAGCCACACACACACGCATTGACCTCGACGGTAAACCCCGTTTCACCTTAACACCTGGATCCATCCTAAGACATCAGTGATGAATAATTTGAAGCATACGATTCTCTCAGTCCGATTCGAATTAATCAAAGCTAAAATTTCTGTATTTTGTCTGCAAGTGCATTGTTCATGTGACGAAGCAACTAATAAGAGAAACGTTGACGGTGAGTGGATATACACTGGGTAATCGAGGATGCTTTAGACTTTCAAGTAGATTAAGTTTAACGTAGAAAGAAATTCTAACCTGACTGCAAGGGTCGATACGTCAACAGCAACAGCAACATCAGACTCACGGTGGTGGTCTGCGAAGACAACACTCGGGGTTACATGCTGTGGAGGGACGTCAGGTGATCCACAAAATGAGGCTACATCACACCTACACCCAACATGTCACCCAACCACACCTTCCTGCAACATGTCTGTTCTATACACTCGAACTTCCTGCATCATATCTGTTCTATACACCCTACCTCCCTGCAACGTGTCCGTCTATACACCCCACCTTCCTGCAACATGTCTGTTCTATACACTCCAACTTCCTGCATCATATCTGTTCTATACACCCCACCTTCCTGCAACATGTGTGTTCTAAACACCCCACCTTCCTGCAACATGTCTGTTCTATACACCCTACCTTCCTGCAACATGTCTGTGCTATACACTCCAACTTCCTGCAACGTGTCCGTCTATACACCCCACCTTCCTGCAACATGTCTGTTCTATACACTCCAACTTCCTGCACCATATCTGTTCTATACACCCCACCTTCCTGCAACATGTCTGTTCTATACACTCCAACTTCCTGCATCATATCTGTTCTATACACCCTACCTTCCTGCAACATGTCTGTGCTATACACTCCAACTTCCTGCAACATGTCTGTTCTATACACCCCACCTTCCTGCAACATGTCTGTTCTATACACTCGAACTTCCTGCAACATGTGTGTTCTATACACTCGAACTTCCTGCAACATCTCTGTTCTATACACACCACCTTCCTGCAACATGTCTGTTCTATACACTCGAACTTCCTGCAACATATCTGTTCTATACACCCCACCTTCTTGCAACATGTCTGTTCTATACATCCCATGCACCTTCCTGCAACATGTCTGTTCTATACACCCCACCTTCCTGCAAAATGTCCGTTCTATACACCCTACCTCCCTGCAACGTGTCCGTCTATACACCCCACCTTCCTGCAACATCTCTGTTCTATACACCCCACCTTCCTGCAACATGTCTGTTCTATACACCCCACCTTCCTGCAACATGTGTGTTTTATACACCCTACCTCCCTGCAACATGTCTGTTCTATACACCCTACCTTCCTGCAACATGTGTGTTTCATACACTCCACCTTCCTGCAACATGTCTGTTCTATACACCCTACCTTCCTGCAACATGTCTGTTCTATACACCCCACCTTCTTGCAACATGTCTGTTCTATACACCCCACCTTCCTGCAACATGTCTGTTCTATACACCCCACCTTCCTGCAACATGTCCGTCTATACACCCCACCTTCCTGCAACATGTCTGTTCTATACACCCCACTTTCCTGCAACATGTCTGTTCTATACATCCCACCTTCTTGCAACATGTCTGTGCTATACGCCCCACCTTCCTGCAACATGTTTGTTCTATACACTCCACCTTCCTGCAACATGTGTGTTCTATACACCCCACATTCCTGCAACATGTCTGTTCTATACACCCCACTTTCCTGCGACATGTTGATTTTATACACCCCACCTTCCTGCAACATGTCTGTTCTATACACCCCACATTCCTGCAACATGTTTGTTTTATACACCTCACAAACCTGCAACATGTTTGTTTTATACACCTCAACTTCCTGCAACATGTGTGTTCTATACACCCCACATTCCTGCAACATGTTTGTTTTATTCACCTCACCTTCCTGTAATATGTCTGCTTTATAGACCTCACTTTCCAACAGTTTGTTTCTTTACAGCTCACCTTGCTGCGTTATTTCAATTTTATACAACTTACCAGACAACTCCTGGCCATGCCTGCGCTTGCCGACGTTGGTATCAAGCGCCTCCTTGTCGTCTTGGTTGTTTTTGAAATGTTAAAACAGTTCACACATACTCATTCAAGTTGTCATGTGCAAGAGACGTCCCTCGGTATGATGCAAGTGGCCTAGCAAGCTCAGCTTTCCTATATGGACAATAATATGTCCCATATGTTGTATACCTGTATATGAAGATAGTTCTCCGGCACGATCTTGACAGAAGGTACACGGATATGTCCTGCTTGCTGCTGTTGACAAAGGCTCTACACGGATATGTCCTGCTTGCTTCTGTAGACAATGGTGGTACACGGATATCCCCTGCTTGCTGCTGTAGACAATTGTGGTACACAGATATGTCCTGCTCGTTGCTGTAGACAATGGTGGTACACGGATATGTCCTGCTTGCTGCTGTAGACAATGGTTCTACACGGATATGTCCTGCTTGCTTCTGTACACAATGGTGGGACACGGATATGTCCTGCTTGCTGCTGTAGACAATGGTGGTACACGGATATGTCCTGCTTGCTGCTGTAGACAATGGTGGTACACGGATATGTCCTGCTTGCTGCTGTAGACAATGGTGGTACACGGATATGTCCTGCTTGCTGCTGCAGACAATGGTTCTAGACGGATATCCCCTGCTTGCTGCTGTAGACAATGGTTCTACACGGATATGTCCTGCTCGCTGCTGTAGACAATGGTTCTACACGGATATGTCCTGCTTGCTGCTGTAGACAATGGTTCTACAAGGATATGTCCTGCTTGCTGCTGTAGACAATGGTGGTACACGGATATGTCCTGCTCGCTGCTGTAGACAATGGTGGTACACGGATATGTCCTGCTCGCTGCTGTAGACAGTTGTGGTACACAGATATGTCCGGCTCGTTGTTGTAGACAATGGTGGTACACGGATATGTCCTGCTTGCTGCTGTAGACAATGGTTCTACACGGATATGTCCTGCTCGCTGGTGTAGACAATGGTTCTACACGGATATGTCCTGCTTCTGCTGTAGACAATGGTGGTACACGGATATGTCCTGCTCGCTGGTGTAGACAATGGTGGTACACGGATATGTCCTGCTTGCTGCTGTAGACAATGGTGGTACACGGATATGTCCTGCTTGCTGCTGCAGACAATGGTGGTACACGGATATGTCCTGCTTGCTGCTGTAGACAATGGTGGTACACGGATATGTCCTGCTTGCTGCTGTAGACAATGGTGGTACACGGATATGTCCTGCTTGCTGCTGCAGACAATGGTTCTAGACGGATATCCCCTGCTTGCTGCTGTAGACAATGGTTCTACACGGATATGTCCTGCTCGCTGCTGTAGACAATGGTTCTACACGGATATGTCCTGCTTGCTGCTGTAGACAATGGTGGTACACGGATATGTCCTGCTTGCTGCTGTAGACAATGGTGGTACACGGATATGTCCTGCTTGCTGCTGTAGACAATGGTGGTACACGGATATGTCCTGCTCGCTGCTGTAGACAGTTGTGGTACACAGATATGTCCGGCTCGTTGTTGTAGACAATGGTGGTACACGGATATGTCCTGCTTGCTGCTGTAGACAATGGTTCTACACGGATATGTCCTGCTCGCTGCTGTAGACAATGGTTCTACACGGATATGTCCTGCTCGCTGGTGTAGACAATTGTGGTACACGGATATGTCCTGCTTGCTGCTGTAGACAATGGTGGTACACGGATATGTCCTGCTCGCTGCTGTAGACAATGGTGGTACACGGATATGTCCTGCTTGCGGCTGTAGACAATGGTGGTACACGGATATGTCCTGCTCGCTGCTGTAGACAATGGTGGTACACGGATATGTCCTGCTTCTGCTGGAGACAATGGTGGTCTGCCCTGCTAGCTGTCGTGGATGCAGCAGTTGCTATACTGTCACCGTCACCAATGTACTACGGACAATCGTGGTATCCTACTGCTGCCGACGATGCTTGTGCCAATATTGGCATGATGCCACATCGATACACCTGAATACAAACTATTGACTGCGAAGTTAGCCACGTTATGACAAACGCGTCGACCGCATCATATGAACAACATCCCTTACCGTATTTGGTCTTCCATTAACATTTGGGCTTAACATTGATAACGCTGGCTTTATTAAATGTATATATGAGTAAGTGGGAAATGTTTGTCAACGTGTTGTGTGTATGTCACGACCATAATGTTAATCTCATGCCATTCAATTTAACTAGTTCAATAGTTACCCTACTCTATTAAAAAGTATTAGTTGTCAGATCATTGCGCAAAAGGGTTCATTATAATGATAGATTGTGGTTTTCTCAGTATTGTCTATTTAGTTCTATATCAAACATAATTGCATACATCAAACATCGTC